GACTATATGTTCTACGGATATAGTTGGAGAAAGGATACCCTAGAAAGTTTATAATTAAATATATGATCACGAAGGTGAGAATAGGCGAAATACGAACGGTGAGTAACAAATCCCTGTTTGTGAGCCTAAAATTCAGAGGGAATGCGTTTAACAAGCTATATTGATCGACGTTCTAAAAGTTTACATTTTCGTGCTTGTAAACACCTCCCAGCGTAACTAAACAAAGTCTGGTGAAGAAAGTGAGCACTTCAATATTGACCCATTTCGTTCAAGCTGATCAATAGTGCCAGTATAAACCAATCATATGCTACCACTATGTAATGAACTATTTTAAGGAAAGATGAAAGCTATAGTAACGGCTATTTATTTATTCAATCTCAATCGTTTCTTATCATAATATTTAATTGTTTCAGTTCAGATAACAATAGTAGACAAACAACTCTACAAATATAAATAAAGTTACTAGGTCGAATATAGTTCTTTGCTTAAATTTGAAATAACCACAATTGTGATCCTTGATTTTATCAATAGACCACATTAAGAAACACTTAATATATTACTTTTATATAAAGTGGAAATTAATATGAAGCCCAGTTCACTTAAACACTTAATGTTTTCTCTGTTTATATGTATTTTAATATTCTAAAACTAATATTTTGAAATTTGTAGCCTTTGGTAAATGGTGGTCACCAAAATGATGTAGCCTAATTTTGGCGCGAAAAACTCCAGTGCACTAACTCATTTAGATATCAATGGAGTACATTGACTATCATATTTAAAGTTGATATGAAGTAAATTATTCTATTTACAAACGTTTATTTACTACACAACATCAATTACAAACAGTCAAACTTCGGTACATTGTGCATTTAAAAACAACAAACAATCATAGAAGACTAACAATAACATTCTACACAAAGGAATTGACATTATCATCGTGTATTTATATTTATATCAAGCTTCTCTTATCTTCAATTTTTCCTGTTTTTTTTTCTCGTTCTTTATCATTTACTTTTCAGTAGTATCTTATGATCATATTTAATTTCAAGCATTCAGTTAAACTATCATATAGTGCTCGCGAGTGATATTGATATGAAATACTAAAAAACAAACAAACGATTTTTCAACTATTATTAAAATTAACTGATTCATTATTTGAATTAATGGCTTCTGCTTATTCTTGCAATTATGTAGTTAATGAAATTCAACCCATTACATTTATTTGTTCATGGGTTTTTAGATTTACAAAGGAACACACAGGCATTTATTTATATATATATATATGCTTGATAATCTTTCAAATAATGGAATCTAAACATATTTATTCCATTATAGCACAATAATTATAATCAGTATTGAATTGAAACTAATTGTGAATAACATTAAAACAAATATCTACTTCAATTTTGAACAATATGACATACATATTTAAAATGTTCCATTTATTCTGTTACAATGTTTATTTAACAGTTTGTCTTTGAATTTATTTTCATTCATGGAAAAAAATAGAAGGAAAAAAGTATTATCATCAATATAATACTAAGTTTTATACTGAATATATATGTCGTTAGTTAAGGTTGATCACAAGTAGTTTGGTGTAATGATAAAATACTTCTTTGAAGATATTCATTGAATTTCTAACATTTTAGGAAATTTTTTTCAGTATTTTAGTAAAAGTATTCAAAATTACAAGGATATAGTGAAAATCATATGCGTGTAATAAGATACTGGTAATTTGTAATGTTGTGTAGTATGGTAAATTCAAAGAATTAATCCAGCATGTTTATCCCTAACATAATAGAACTATGTCATATATATATATATACCCAGTATTAATTTAAGTAATATGCTGTACTAACATTATCGGTAACTCATACAGTTGAATGCTAAAACCCTAACTAACAGACACTTTTCGTACTTCTAAAAATACAAGTAAACAGGTCAGTAGCTAAGTGGATAACACGATGACGTTTGAAGTGAACGCTATTGTGTTCGAGTTCTAGAATGAACATCAACTCTGAGATACAGGTACATGGAGCTGACGAATCTCGAATAAGACGAAACGCGCGTCCTGGATTCTAGTGTTGGCCAATATCTATCTTTACTTAGAATGCTTGTGAATTAAGTCTATATCGAGACAATACGCACAGTATGTACATATGCCAATAAGAGACTGATCAAGTGCAGTCCTAAACATCAGTGTGAAGATTCATGTAAACAATACCACGTGAATTCAAGTCTTATTTATTTTACAATTATGTATAATGCCACATACATTTATATACTGAGATAAAATTAAAATCATGATACACATGACCATTTGAAATGTTTACGAATTAGTTGTACTTAACTTCAGGATAAACAACACAAAGTTACAAAAAACACAACATCAACTATCCAAAAATGATAAACCAACTTCATTATAACTGAAAACAGTGTTTCAGCGATTTCATCTTGTGCACATATTTATCAAATATGAAGGTCAGGTTTTGTGACAGAATTTACTAACTACCATTTCTGATTTAAGAATATTCAACTAATCAGTATTCCTATAACTCATCTATAAGATAACTTACAGTGGTACAGTAGAACAAGTTGCTGTATTCAATTAAATAGAAATAAACTACGAAACACGACAAACAAATTATGTGAATAATTTGGTCTAGTTATTATTTTGTAATGAAAAAAAAACTGATAAAATCCAAACCAGTTGCATTTCTATTGGGTTTTCATTTAATCTATTCGGGAAATCATGAATAAATAAAACATGAGTGGGAAAGATCAAGCTATCCTAGAACTTTTTATCTACATTTTATGGTGAGAAAATAAATTCATTTGGATGAAACTTATCAAGCTTTCACTAGCTCTATTATTATTATTATTATTATTATTATTATTATTATTATTATTATTATTATTATTATTATTATTATTATTATTATTATTATTAACAAATCACAAATAGCGACTCTCATTTGACACCAATTCAACATTTTTTCCCAGAACTGATGTTTGTGTTAAAAATTAGCAGCTTAACCAAAAGAGTTGTGTAATAATAAATGGCAAGAGCTTGCCAAAAGACGTTAGCCGGACATCTAAGGAAAAATTATCAGAATGGGTTTTGTGGAGATTTTAGAAATTTCACAGGTTGAAATCATGAGTCAGTTGAAGCTAGACCACCATTGAAAACCTGGAAGCACTGGACGGCCGTTTCGTCTTAGTATGGGACTCCTCAGCAGTGCGCATACACGATCCCGCACCACGCGGGGCTCGAACCCAGGACCTACTGGCTTCGCGCGCGAGCACTTAACCACTAGACTACTGAGCCGGCATCCAACGGTGTTAATGTCTAACTTCAACCAGTCCACGAAGTTGCGCCACCGTACACCATTGTCTTCAGTGAGTTCCTATCTCACAACAGACCTGGTTGAACTCCACTGGTAACGGCTTCTCACTAGAACTTCGGGAGTTCTTCCTGAAGTCAGTCACTAGTGAGCAGTGGATTATTATCAGAATATGTTTTGTGGAGATTTTAGAAATTTCACAGATTGAAATCATGAGTCAGTTGAAGCTCGGCCACCATTGAATAGTATACGGTGGCGCAACTTCGTGGACTGGTTGAAGTTAGACATTAACACCGTTGGATGCCGGCTCAGTAGTCTAGTGGTTAAGTGCTCGCGCGCGAAGCCAGTAGGTCCTGGGTTCGAGCCCTGCGTGGTGCGGGATCGTGTATGCGCACTGCTGAGGAGTCCCATACTAGGACGAAACGGCCGTCCAGTGCTCCCAGGTTTTCAATGGTGGTCTAGCTTCAACTGACTCATGATTTCAATCTGTGAAAAATCAATTGTTGACCAGATTATTAAACTAGTAAATACATAGAGTAGATGAAACGTTTGCATAACAAACTATATTCAGTGATTAGCACATATTATGTTTAGTTAGCATAACACTGGGTATCCTATGTATTTTTGAACTAGTTGAAAATCTGCATTTGAAGTTTATTTTGAATTTCGATGAAAAGCATGTTTTAATTATATTTTCTTTGAAAATTTTGACCTTCTACAAATCCAGAGTAAATAGTTTGACGACAACGTATAACCTATCATCTCCAAAACTTTCAAACTTCTTTTTAATGTTTATGAGAGTAACTTTGTACATCTGAGTTCTCGTCAAATATTCTACCATACAAAAGAACATCTGCTGTACTATAATACTAATAATAGGTTTCTGAATAACTTGATATTATTCTGTCGAAAACGACGTACGAAATCAATAGAAGGCATATGTGGATGATTTGATACAGATGCAAAGATATATTCAATTACATTAGTAATTGAATACTGACCTCAGTGATACATGTTTTTTCTTCTTGATAGTTAAGTATTTCTTTCATATTATTTCTAGTAATTTCAGTAGAATACGAAAAAACTAATTACAATAAGTAATAGATCTCACACTTGAGCTATGTACATCAACAAAACCTACAAACAACAGTGATTTCCAGAGATTATTTTGAATAAGTAGCCTATGGAAAGATATAGTATAAGGTATACTGATATGTTTTGCTTAGATTTACATTTTATAAAGATGATCTCGGCTTTGTATCTTTTCTCTTTTAGCCTTATATTCTTTATTCCCAATATGATTATTAAGAACACTGTACTCAATAGTGAACTACGCTAGTATAAACTATCAGTCTGAAGTTAGTCAGTGATTCTACTACATTTTAATCAAGCCCAATTGATTTTAATGAAACATTTCTTAACAAATATACTTAACAGATTGTATGATGAAATTATTTTAGACAGTAGTAACACTTTTAATAGCCTAATTCAATTATCAATATGTTGATGATCATGGACGTCACATAGAATCTTAGCAAAGTTCTTGGTCTATTTCATTCGATAATGACCAAAATTACTGATTGCAAATGAGCATTTAACATACATTTGTAAAAGTATCTCACCAACATAACTTAAAGCTGAAAATATGCACAACAGTAAAAGAGGTAATCTAATTTGTTTATTTAAATGTAATGTAACATAATATATTTAGAAAAACAATTAAAAGATTAAATATGTAAATAAATTGATTGACTGAATAAGATAACACATATACACTAATTAAATATATATGGATATATATCTATCAAGAAGTTAGATTAAAATAAATTTCATCCATCCCCCAGATATTTCCAATACGACACATAATAAGATTTGATTGATTTAACATAGAAGAATATAATTCAGTTCTCAAAGGATAGCAATTATTCATATGCTCACATTCAAACCACGTAATATATCCTGCCGGTTCGCCTTGTGTATTTATTGGACAGGTAAATGAATGTAGAGAAATATCCTCAAATGAATTGGTGTTAGTTTTTTGAAGTTCTGGTGGATAACCTACAGATATGTTGAATTTATATAGTTCAATAAAAGTGTTATCATAATTAATACCACAAATCCAGATTCCTGTGTGAATTTCAGGATTTGCCTGTTCAATTAACAGATATTCAGAAGTTGCCTGAAAAATCTCTTCTCTAAAGTAAGAAATATAAAGAAATTTTGTTAACTAGCGATATAAGTCATTTGAACAATATCTAAATGATAGGAGAATTAATAATCTCGATTCTTATAAATTTATCTCTGCATTATAGATGGCAAAATCAGAACATTAACTGTCATCTGTGAAAAACATTCACTTTAAACTAAATATCATAACTGAGTATTCATTGAAGCTTTATAACTGACTGTGAAAAGCGATTCTCAAATACCTAGGGAACATTGAAGTTCAGCCATGCTTAGTATGAAGCAGTCGCCCATTAATGACGTTGAACGATGCTTGAGCAATATCGAGGAATAATAAAATCTAAACATTTAGACCACTGGTTTGTAGTCTAAAGCCTAACCTGTTGAAATGGTACCAATAGTCCTGAATTTAATACATATGTCATCACTAACGCGTATTAGTGAGGTGTTCCATACCAGGGCAAATATCTGTATACGACTTTTTGATTTTCAATAAATGTCTATTTAACTTCAGTTGAAGTTAAAAAAATCTTCAAAATCCTCCTTACAGTATAGCTTAAAAATTCCTTAAATTACATTGAATAAGAAGTAAGCATGAGTTAACGTGTAAGTTAATGTGAAATTGTAGGTAAATACTTACTTATTTTTCTTCCATATAGTATCGCCTAAATACTGATTATGGGGACAACTGAGAAACACCAATCCATCCTTCGGTACCAAGATCGTATCATGTAACGATACTGCATTTTGAGAACTCATAGCAAGTATTTTATTTGGTTGTATAGAAACTACATTTAAAATCATAGTAGCTTTTGCATAGTCTATAGTTTCTAAATCGGATGCTTCACAAACCCACCCTCCTGTATGCAACTGATTTTTAGTATTTTGTAGTAATAAATGTGATATCCAAATATTTTTATCTTTAGAATGATGATGAACTGTCACTGGATACCTAAAAATTTGATAAAAATATTAAAGTTAACCTTAGCGTAGAAAACGAATCTTTCAATCAGACGACATTTTAATTTGTTCACCCTTGAACTATTAGGGAAGGTTTATATTAATGTTTGTTTAAAAAAATATTTTCAAACGATTATGACTAAACAGTATATGATTGTGAATTATACTCCTAGATTATGGGAACCGTCTACTACTTGCTTATAATGTAAAATTACTTTATAGAAAAATTTGTGTAATGTAAGACTACATTTTATGGAGGAAAACTTTCATATTGAAGTCGTTGAGTTCAAGAAACTGCAAATAATTAATAAACCGAGTGCTGTAGAAAAAAAAACATTTCAGAACGTCGTGATTTGTTCCTTCAAAAGTGTCGAGAGTATGATGGTCATGTAAACCAGCTAAAAACAGTCTTACAGAAAAGTGCATTTTCGTGCCGAGAACCAGATATTTCTATATAGTATTTAAGTAATGTCCACTGATTATAAAGGAGAGGATAAACCTGTTCAGATTTACTATCTTAGGTAAGTGATCCTCTATTGAAACGAATTTGTGTCAACATAATAATCATCTACAGCCAGGCGATCAGTAAAAATGTTTAGATAATAGGCAATATGGCTACGTAGACCATTGTATTTTCATCGTTACCTTAGTTGCAGAATAAAATTTAATATATATGCCTATCTATTGTCCTTGTAATTTGCTTGAAAATAACAGGTTAACCTATGCTTCCAATTTGTCCTTATAAGTTTACTAAACGTTACTAACAACAATATACTGATTTATATTAACAATAACTTAATAGTATATAATGACATGAAGAGTGAAACACATTCTCTTTATTTAAACGCTATTCGAGCCAAATAAATTTAACATCTATAAAATATTAGAATAATCGACTCGTATTATAGAATACTATGACTAAATTACGATAAATTTAATATCTAATTAACCTGATATTTATGAACTCATATGGTATGCGTTGTAAGTTTAGTGTCCACTTTGTCTACTCCAACTTGGATCACTTGAATATAAATGCTAAACGTTTCACTTTTCTCATATTAAAGATGAGGTATATTCAGTAAAGTATTACACCCTTCAACATAATACAATACCTTCATCAATTGTTTTTACCGACAAATTTGTCACTCATCCAATGGTGATTTTAAAGTCAAAGTATTTTTGTAGACTATCTTTTGGAAGCCGGTTTGAATTATTTTTAGCGTTTGATAATCCCTCAGAACCCCATTACTTCTTAATTATTGTGTTGTATAGCACAGGAATTTTTAGTAATAAACATTAAAAGAACTATCAAGATGTCGAAACTAATCATATTTTAACATAGAAATATGGTTTGACACACCAAATGTTGAAATACTTTTAGCCTAAAGTACTCGGTCATGTCAAGATAAATTTTTCGTGTCACTTATACTGGTAGTTTTACAAGATGAATCAAGTTACGAATCAGTAATCTAAAATTACAAACACAATTCATCAACATAGTTCGCTGGCAAAGCTAACCTTTTTCCTGATAGTATATGAATCCATTGAACATATGGTTTCTTTTGAGATACGACCCAACATGGGAGTTTAATTTGTTCATTTTCTAACACCTCTAATGTCAAAGTTTTCTTAAAATTTGACTGGCTGAAAAAGTGTGTGACAGCATGGAATATCTTGTTGTATCTAAAAATGAATACAAATAATCCTAAACTGTTTACTGAAAATATTAGAAGGAAGTAAATACTTCATAATTACTACTTGACTTGTGGACTGTGTTAACCACAGAATATATATTATATAAACGCTAAAACTTTGGTTGATTCATACTGCTATTCATCTTCATTAGTATATAAGACTCAACATATTTATTTATATATCACAGTCACTAAGTTATTCCTGTATGAGGTTAAATAGTTAGAACTAACTTTCACCTGGCTGCTGTCTCAGATTCCCATCTGATTTTCAAGTGAGTAAGCTATTTTCACAAAATCGAAGTTGCATTGGCACGTTTGTTAAATTTCGAAGAATTTCAAGTGACTGTACAAGTCAGTAAAGATGGCTTTCATCAAAAACGGTTGTATGCTTTATTAGGAATAGTTTGATTTTCTATTACTATTAAAATGTATAAGTATACGCCACATTTGCACACCCATTTTCTTAAAATGTAACATATCTAGTCTACATTGCATTAATTCCTATTTATAAAATTTATAAAAAGGGATACTTATTAAATTGTAGAAGATAAAAGAATGCGAATTCTTAAATCAAATAACAATTTATGAGAAATTTATATTCTTTTGTTAAAGTTTAACTTACCGCTTGTTTGTTATCATCTTGTAGTTTAATGTTGGATAAACTAAATCATTTAAGTCACCTTCAAGAAAAGAAAGGAATTTTATTTCTTGTTAAAGTTAAGTATACTTTTTCATGATATATATATATATATATATATATATATATATATATATATATATATAACCAGAAGATATATTCAGTTATGTCTCAGTTACAAGTAAAATATAAGATTTGTGAATAGTTAGAGAAAGTATTCTGTGTGCTACTTATGTCGACATAAGTAGTATATAATGCTAGTCAGAAATAGAATGTCTGGCAGCAAAAGGTTAAGAAGACGGAGGAGGGAAGAACGGGAACAGGAAGCAATTGTTATGGAAATGCAGGAACAATTAAGTCCGAGACAATTAATGAACATTTTGCAAATGAAGTATTACAGTATGGCTTTTCTATTTTATCAAGTAACTGCAATTTTATGCTAAAGGTAATCAATCGGTTGTCCTCACCTGTGTTCTCCTTCACTACAGTATTATAAAATGAGAAAATAACTTAGAAAATTAAACTTTTCGGTGTTTAAAAATACATTTAATAAGTTCTTTACCAGATACCTCAATATCATGAAGCATATTATTGAAGAGTCTTGAAGTAAGACAAATCTATTTAGTACAACAGGATATTAAAGTAGTACGTTTTAGATGGAAATTCCGAAAAATAATGTAATTCAATAATGTATTTCCTCTTAAAAACTGACAATCTCACGAAAAATGATGCGATTAACTCTCCTTGCTCAACAATAATATGACAGACTCACATCAATAACAGTTGGATAATGCTCAGAATACAACATTGTCTTCATAAGAATTGTAAAAATATTATTAACTAAAAGTTATCGATTCAAGTTAGAATAGAACAAAAGCCATTAGGGATTTTTCGACATGTAGAAAACCAAAGTTTGATTAAACAGTAGTACAACACATCATAATGTATTATTTGGTAACAAACTATTCACCGTTCAAGTTAGTCGATAATCACTAAAGAGAAGGAAGGAAATTAATACTTTTATTTACTAAATCAAATAGAGATTTATGCGGTCGCAATGGATTTCTTACTGCATACTTAAAAGTCTAGTCCATTTTAAGCTTGTAATTTATGGTGTTAACGAATTTGTACGAATTGTTATGACGTAAAATAATATTTACTAGTTGTGTCTGTCTAAATTGATTTAACAATATAAGTCAATCACAGATACCGATCAGCTCCTCTACACATATTCTCTACAATAAAAATGAGGTTAGATAATTAAATATATAAGTAGTTTCAATTGACCTCGGTCGAATTAGTATTTCTACACATTTCATTTCTTATATACTTTTATTTTAAAATAAACATTAACATTCTGAAATGTATGGAATGTTGATAATTTTTAGCGGTGCCGTTAATATGAATGCAGATCAAAAGACTGATAGTTAAGAATTGATATAAGATATTGATATAGAATTCGGAAGTTTGCTATGTTTTGACAACAATGTTTAGTACTTTTTACGTTACGTCTATAAATATATTCTAAGTGTATGGTGTGTTTTGACTGACCGCTTTCAAATTCATGACTTACAGGAAAGTATTTGAATTTCAATGACAATAAGACTACCTTACAAAACAGTTAATTACTCTGTTTCATTTTCGATTTTCGGTATGCTTCAGTAAACAGATGAAGATAGTATAGAGGAGCGTAGAAATAGTAAATAGTGTAGAAATTTATTACATCAGCAGCCAACGTCACTTGTCATGCTGAGATTTTTATTTAGAAACATCAGGTGTCGTGTAGAGAAAGCCTAAAATTAAGAAAGATTAGCTACTTTAAGCTATCTGATTGTTGATGGTCCTCAAACAGACGTCAGCACATGGAAAATATGAACCTCAATAATGGGAACCGTTTTCATTGATAGCATTTATTTTAAGTTCTGTCGCCTCCAACCAACGTAGTGACTGATATACGATTTGTAAGTAATGGAAAAGATTAATGGTTCTAAATCTCCTCTCTGCGATTACTATACTAAGACCGTTGTAGTTATCCACTTCAAATTATTCAATGTATATCAATGTAATGACGTTCTAAATGATGAACACTGTTGTTTCTACCGTTTCTGATCACTGTGATAATGACTGATATAAAATTTTGATTTGTCGATCTACCCAGCTCCCGATACTTCAATGCTTTGAAATTGGTTTAGTTTGAAGTTGAAAGTCGAACATTAAGTTCTAATTCAACAGATTTAGAAAAATGTAATTCATAACTATTTTCACTGAACACAGAGTTTCAAGGAATGGCAGTGAATAGTTTTTCTAGTCAGAAAACTAATGAAGATATACTAAACAATGCAGTGACACCAAAGTATATTCATGGACTAAACTGGCTTTAAAAGCAGTTATTCAATGATCTAAAGACTAAATGAAATTGAATACAAAATAAAATAGGTATCTTTTATTACCATGAATTCTTCAAATATTTTTATTATAGTACTTTTACAGCTAACATAAATACAGCTGACTATTAGAAAAAATTGTCTCAAAAATCACTGTCTGCTAAAGTTTGGAAATAAGAATCTAAATTGTTCAATTGAAAATTGAAAGGTTGAAAGCTCGAACATACAGTGTTGCATATTGAGGTATCCCGACAACTTTCGGGAAAGATAAAAAGCGAATATTCAAAACTATGGGTTGATAAAGTAGAACAAAACATATTGATATCTTGCACGCTATGTAAAAGTTCATTGCTACACTTTTGATAACAATAAGTTTTAAATGAATTCAATTTTTGGAGACGATGCGCACTGCTGAGGAGTCCCACACTAGGACGAAACGGCCGTCCAGTGCTTCCAGGTTTCCAACGGTGGTTTAACATCAATTAATTCATGATCTCAACCAAAAACTTAACAATCTCCACAATCCTCATACTGACGATTTTAATGTCTGAATGTTAATTAAGTTTCAGTCAATTATTAATCTTTGATTTCTTTGAAGCTTTTCGTTAATATGGTTATTGTATGCTTATGAATTTAATAAGCGATATTCTGTGACACTGTGTTCACTAACCTGGAACGTTGTAGATACTTCTGTAAAGCAGTTCAAAAGATTAAATACAACGTGTAGTAAACTCTGTGTAAAAACTATTCAAAGCAGTCTGAATCATCTCTTACACAACAACGTACGGTAAGTTGAAACATCTGTTTTCTGAAATTAGCTTAGTCAAATCATCACAAGGATTTTGAAACTTCATTGAAATCAATCCGACTCAATCACCATTTAGTTTTGAGTCATATTTGAATAACTATAGTGACAATTAAGTTGTATTTACCTACAGGTGTTTCCAAAATTTGTCAGTAACCAAATAAAGAAAAACAGATATTCAATAAAAAAGTGTGACTTTTCTATTTATGTTACATTTCCAGTAAACTGTTACTAACGAACATGGATAATGAAACAACTAAGAGTTCAATACTGTTTATACCTAAAATGAAGAAATATTTCTAGTTCACATTGATAACTAGATGGCTACATTTTTTTAAATATTTCATTTAAAAGAAATTTGGGAAGATGTATTCAATGAATATTTTATACACCTAAAATTCCAGCGTCTTGGTAGTACATTGGCAATATTTTCCTTATTTTTTGTTAAATGTAATCTTATTCCTTCTGTATGCAAATGACCTTCCTCGTCTTTTATCATCATCGGTCTTGCTATATGCTGACAATGCAAGATATGGAGAGCGATAAAGAGTAACGGTGATAACTTAAAGCTTCAAAATGACCTGGAGAATTGTCTGAATGGTCTCATACTTGGCAGTTGCTGATAAATATCCCAAGTGTATTGTGATTCCTATTGGTTATCAAGGTGCGGATATATACATGATCAATAACACTGAGCTATCTGTAGTCCAGATACACAGTGACTTAGTGATCATAGTTAGCCGAGACATAGCTGTCAAAGGTTTAAGAACACTATGGTCAATACGTAGGGCCTTTAGTCATGTTGACGCTAAAACTTTTTTATCTTTGCATGCAGTATTCGAGCGTCCTAAATTTGAGTACTGAATACAAACGGCTAGCCCCTGCTTAAAAAAGACAGTGTGCTTTTGGAAAAGGTTCAGAAAACAGCAACTGAGTTGATTGCAGAATAGCGAAGCTCCCGTATGATGCTCGATTAGCCAAGCTAAACCTATTCCCGTTGTCATACCGAGGAACTAAAAGTGACTTAATTACAGTTTTCAAATTGCTTTTTGATACATTTTCACCTGATATACCCTCATTTTTCTTGTCTTACAAAATTTCACAAGCTCAGAACAAATTACTTGTCAGCTGACTACCGACTTTCCCGACGAATCATCAACGAGTGGAATTCATTACCTCAATATGTGATTGAAGAAAGTTTGATTAACTGAGAAACCTTCATTGCCACGAGTAAAACAGGCCATTAAGCCTCCTGTCCTTACCAAACTGAAACTGAAATGTTTATGAGTAGATTTATACAAATATTTCAGTTTATGTCCTGGGTTTTAATTTATTTTCTTTCTATGATCTTCATCTAAAGAAGCTTTGTATATTAAAAAAGTAAAAAAAAGTCCCTTGGATTTTCAGTAGAAACCTGCTTAATTGTTTATATTTACAGACGTATTTAGTTTATTTTACTTTGGCTGGAAATGTTATCAGTTGTTAGTATTAACTAGTATCTGAATCATTTAAGATATCCATTACGTCTAAACATACAAGATATTATAATTCTACTTTATGTTTTTGACTTACTAGATCATGAATCTTAAATATGTATACAAAGTGAATCACTTTTCTAATCACTATAACCAAAAACAATCACTGGTTTTTTTCAAATTCACTTATACTACTTTAAGAGTAATAAATGTTTAAATGTCTATTCAGTATCAGTTTATTTACATTTACTATTTATCAGTAGTAGTGATGATTCAACATAATTTTCTGGCAAAGAAATATATATATGGCTTTTGTTGTAATTTACGAGTATTTATTTTGTGAATTCACTTTTATCAACTGATGCAGTAGAACCAAATTCCCTGGAAATGTATGCTCAGTAATTTTCACTTTATTTACGATAAATGTAAGATCCTGTACTTAAATAATCGATCCATTCTTTAGGAAACATAAATGTACTGATCAGAAATAAATTTTTGGATACTTCAGGTTAGTGCTGATATTCACTGTTTAGAATTGGTGTCGTTGAGTGAAACAGAAATATACATTACTTTAAATGATATCATCAGACTGTAGCTGGATGGTTCTTTTTTACGAAAATGTTAATAACTTGTATTGTTTTTTTCAGCCCACTCATGTGAATCGAAAATCTTGAACTGACGCGGGTTAACTGCAATATACTTTACCATTAATGTATAAAATTTTACTACAATAATGATACGTTTCCAAGCCTTTTTTAATTTCTAAGGTAACGATTGACATAATGATATACTTAATAAAACCATCGCAAAGGTAACCACAAATTCTTTGCTTTATGTTTTATAACATAATTAAAGATCGCTAATTCTGAAGTTGTCCATAAATGTTAAATTGAACGTTATGATTATTGTTTTCATAACCACTGTCCGACTTACCATATATATTATTTGTTTTCATCCAACAAAAAGGCTTGCCTTTTGTACGATGAAATCTACTTCTATAATGTACATTACTTACTTATGCCTGTTACTCCTCGTGGAGGAGCACAGGCATTCTCCATCCAACTCTGTCCTGAGCAATTCTTTCTAGTTCCCTCCTAATGTTATTCATCCTTTTCATGTCTGCTTCCAATTCCTGATGTAGTGTGTTCTTTGGCCTTCCTCTTTTCCATTTTCCTTCAGGATCCCAAGTTAGCGCTTGCTTCGTGATGAGGTTTGATGATTTCCTCAGTGTGTGTCTTATCCACTTCCAACGTCTTTTCCTAGTTTTCTCTCCAACTGGAAGCTGGTTTGTGTTCTCACACAGTAGGTTGTTGCTGATAGTATCCGACCAACGGACATTGAGTGTCTTGTGTAGACAGTTACTTAGAACCACTTATATATTTTTGATTATGATTGTGGCAGTTCTTCAAGTGTCAGCTCCGTAGAGTAGAATTGTCTTGATGTTCGTATTAAAGATTCTGTATATTACTCATCAAATAATAATGGAATTCTTGGTTTACTATTCAGTATGAACTGAATCCTTAATAGCAACGTTTGTAATTTAATGCATTTTCCGAGTGATTTGAGGAAAAAATTGAATTTGATTAGAATGACTGGATGGGTCCTAAATGTGTTATTTTAATTGAAATTATTTGTTTAAAAAATAATTGTGTTGATTATTACTCATACCTATCACGTTGTTTAGTTACTTAACCTGGTGAACCACAAATGTATTGAATAAAATGTCAGCAGTACTAGTGGCAAGAAAACATGATAATTTTCGTAAAACGTTTTCTTTGGTAGTACATCGTGACCTAAATAGCTTAGCAGTAAGGTCACTTTCTGAGACAAAATAATGAAGAATGCTTGAGACTGTCAAGAGACATTAGTCTTTATGAGGCTGAAAATAAACATTCTTAATGAATGATTGCCATCACCAAACACGGAAAAAAAAAGTAATAATGATAGTTATTCATTTAATTGCAAACTCTTTAGTCTAGAACACTTTTGACAGATTCTGTATGGCGATGTTATGGTGTTTGTCAGTGTATAGATAATAGTAGAAAAATCCGTTTTGATTCTTAAAAGCTACTCAATGTAAAGGCTCAGTTCACAGATCCATATTTTGATTGAATTCTTTCTAGTAAGCTCATCTCTCAGTTATAGATTTATCATCAAATTAAAGATGTCGACTCTCTTAAAATCTCAAAAACATAACTAGTATTAAATATTTGTTCTGGAAAAAAACACAAAGTCATTGATGTAATGCTTAGACAATTATTGTTTATATAAATGGATAAAATGCTAACTTCTTATTAAATGTATAAAAATGTCAGTTTTGATATGTTTTCTCAAATCATATGGTATTATTTATAGATTACTGTAGCTTACCTAATGATTTAGATTTTCTGTCCAAAATCGTACTTAATAATTGATGTATATTTTTAGTCGTGTTAAATGACTTTTCCTTTATAATAATACTTCTTTTAAATCTACTTTTAAGTAGACAAGTTGCTTCACATTCTGCTTCAGTTTTAAAGACACGTCCAATCATTTGACTTTCATATATATTTAACTGCCCGTACAATCTTTTTGGTTCATTTAAACAAATAGGTACTAGAATGGGTACACAAATACCATCAATTATTTCATCCGTTACTTGAACACTTGATGTTACTTGAAATCGATAACCTAATTCATGAATTATATCTTCATTGTTACAAAATGTTTGTCTATCCATATTATCATATTGACTACTAGTTATGAACGGTAAACATGGAAATTTTTCCGACAAGATATCTAGAATGAACACAAAAAAACGTTATGAAAACAAATGACGTTTAAGATTTTTAAGCGACTAAAAATATAACAATAATATGTAATTTTAGGCTAAGACTGTTTTTCTATTGTGGTATATTCTACTGATGTCGAAAGATGTAGATAGTATGTATCACCAATCGAAAGAGAAATGCCTTGAAGCAGAAGGTTAAGAAGACCGAAGAGACGAGAACGAGAACAGAGGATGATTGCTGTGGAATCGAAAGAACAATGAAGTATCAGATGACTGACTAACATTGTGTATATGAATGGTTCTCAGATTTTTTTAACATGTTCCGTAATTCCGTCTTCAACTATATTTGGTTGTCCCCACTAGTGTTCTCGTTCACTACACTATGATTATTGAAATATTTTTGTCTTTATAGCTTGTGTAATAACTATGTATTATTTCAATAAATTAATATCTCATGACCTCAGTAACAACATGTGTGAATGAGGTATTAAATTGAATGGAATTTAATCATCATGGTAACTAAATTTTTTCTCAGGGATTATATATTATCCGATAAAAATAGGTAACAGATAAATTACCTAGTTTTATGCCTCCAATAAGTCAATATTGAATATGTAATCATAAATCTATTACAATTCACTATCTTTACTACATTCAATCCATAGAATAGAAGGGGCTATAACTACTTAACATTCCACTTTTTATTCACAATCTATTTATATAGATAAATGTAATTTAGCATAAAATTTCTTTGATTAATACCTTTACTACTGAAATAATAACAATTTAAGGTAATTAGTTATTGAATGAAAGAAAAAATCACACCAGAAAGAATAATCTACAATTTTTCGCAAATGTTTTGAATAACAGATATTCAATTTGGAAATAATTAACTGTATACATGGTAAATTTCATTAAACACATTCAATATTAAGGTACTTCTTTCGTAAATTTATATGGGACATAAATATTTCATGTAAGAATCTTTTTAATAAGTATGTGTAACTTTCAACAGAAATAAGATAATGATTTTTTATTTTAACTTTTTACTAAATAATCATAAAAATTGGTTCGACTTTGAATAACTTCCGGAAGCTGAACATTTAGTGACCTAATATCTGACATCATTTGGATCGTTTACGATTGTTATTGGAATATACATGTCGTCAAACCTTGTTTACAATTAACGATTTAACTCGCGTTAGTGAATAACGGAATTGAATGAGTCTAGTACGAGAATACACTTCGAATACATATACTCCATATAATCGTTAATCCAGACGAACAATTGGGGGAACGAAGTGAAGATAGCGAAGATAAATGACGCGCAGTGAAGAAAGCGTGTGTGCCAACTCCATTTGGCCAATCAATATTCATAATCGAACAAAAATAAGTTACAGACATGTGATGAGTAGGTTAAGAAATCCACAAACATACGCTTACATAAAAATAGTCAAGATTGATAAGCAAATAACTGACAAGGTAAAAATATAGCTTAAGAAGAATAAATAGATTGAACTGTCCGGAAGCTAGAATAAGCTATATGAACTTAAAAAAGCAACCAGCACTACAAACATCAAAATCTGCGTTTCCATATTTTACCTAAGATAAATTGAACAAATTCTGATAGTTCTACTGCAAGTAAGTAAATCTAGTCAGTTTTACTGACACTAAACACTATAAGGAAATTCATTTCAAACAAGTCATCATTCGTAGATATTGTTGCTTTTTAACAACCAAATACGTTAATTTTTGAATGAACTTTTCTGCTTTTTACTTTGCTTATCTCTAGTCGAATACATTAATAAACTTGAGATTTAATATGGAAACAATTATCAACTACATATTACTTGGGTTGAATGATAAAGTATCCAAACACAAATTCATCTTATTGATGGTATTATGTAATCAACATAAATAAGCCATGTTCAGCAGAATATCATGCGAATCCCAATAATGACTAACAAAGAATGATATCATTTAGACAAAGAAACAAGATTGGGAAAATATAACCTATTTATTATATAACCATATCACAAGCTTATATTATATTTTGCCACCCATACGAAAGTGCTTAAAACCATAAGGATTAAAATTTTTTAGCAAGTCATGCAAAATGTTTTACAGCTATATACATACTTTTATTATCATTTGGTATTCTATGAACATTTATTGAAGTGCTTTCATCTGTCATTTGCTGCGTATTTGTAGGATTTTCCATAGATGATGCTTGAACTAATGTTTTGCTTGATTCTTCCGATTTTTTATCAGTATTTAAATTAGAACTTAGCATAATTTTTTCGGCAATTACTTCAATGTCTGGTACATAAATACATGTTGCATTACAGGCACTAAGTGATGGAAAATTGTTGCCATGCGCCAGTAGACCAGTGAAACGAAATGGAAGACACTGTTTTCTAGAATGATCATAATAGAATCTTTCAGGGTAACTTGTGTCGGTAGAATTCTTCTGAAGATAGAAAAATATATAAAAAAATTAGCAATGATATCTTCGAAAAAAATGACAAAAGTATATTTTACAACAGTTTTCTTCATGTAAACCATCGACTTATTTACGAAATATAAGAAATTAATTGTTAACAAGCTTTACATCCATTAGATGAAAACACCACTGTTAACTATTTTACGACTATTTGATTGTGAAATTACTAATGTATGTCATATAATTGATAGTTACCACAGTAAGTTATCGCTAACAAATGAATGCCTAGATAGTGGTCTTATTGCCTAAAATGGCGTTCTTAGTATTGTTGAGGCTAGTTTCCTCTATATCTGACTCCAATGAATGATATCCCGTTAACTGAGTATTTAAGGCAGGCTAAATCTCCTAGTAGAATTATGGATTTACTCGAGATAATTCAGAAGTCTGAACACCAGTTGTGGGGATATTTTATTGTTAAAGATAAATAAAATCCTCAAGCGTACAGCGAGCAATCACACTGTGAAACCAAGAGCGTGTGTGTCTGTGTATGAGTTAAAAGTCCATATATACTTTTGAGTGTTAATCAACTGTGGATAAATTATTGATTATCTTTATGTTACAACCAATAGGAGAATAGATTAAGGATTGATGTGTAGACACGCGCTCAATCATACACACTCTCTCCTTGTTTCACAGTGTGATTGCTCGCTGTACGCTTGCGGATTTTATTTATCTCTAACAATAAAATATCCCTACAACTGGTGTTCAGGCTTCTGAATTATCTCGAGTAAATCCATAATTCTACTGGGAGATTTAGCCTGCCTTAAATACTCAGTTAATGGGATTTCATTTATTGGAGTCAGATATAGAGGAAACTAGCCTCTACAGTATACATATTTCAGTAAGAACATCAATAATGGGATCCAAGTGAACACAAATAGTAAGTTCCATAAATAAATATGCACGATTATATTTCTTATTATGTTCAAATACCTCTAGAAATCAAATTACTACAATATTACTATAAACATGATAAGCTAATCAACTGCAGTTGGTAAACTCCCTCTGAAAACTACGATATATAACCAATAAATTTCACAAAAACGATATTACAATAAATAGATAGCAGAAATCTCTGTTCTAATCAAATATTTGTGAATAATATTTGAAAATATAAAGATACTAATCAGTTTGTAACAACGTGAAGATGAAACTTGCTTGTAAAGGTAGTCTACAAACATCTTTCCCCATGCAAAATCCTTCACATTCTGCTTTTGTTACAAAACGATTGGAATTTCCAAAGCATCCACCGTATGTAAAAGGCATACACATTCGTTTATGCATGTCATAGTACCATCGTTTTTCAAAGTTTGAACATCCACCATGATCATATGGAAGTCGACAGACATCTAAAAATGTAAAGCATAAATTTTCCAAATGTTTTTGAAGTCGCTTAGATGAACACCAATAGAAGGAATTAAAGTAGACTTGATAAATACTCTAAATAAAATGGTTGTTTTCATTTCAAAACTGGCTTTAATGGTAGTAGAACCGATGAACAGAGTACTCAAATTCCAAATGATTGAACAATTACGTTTTATTTCGGTTAAAATACTTTATCAAGCGCATAAAATGCAATGGATTTTACCATTTGGTAAATATTAATTTTAAAGGTTTTTATACAATTATTTAAATCTTGATTACTTTAGCTTCACAATCTATTAATAGTCAAAATAGCTTTCATAACAAATGGAAATCATACATAGACTTATTAATCAATGAAGAGAACCATCTTTAAATTAGCAATTTTTCAGTAACGTGTAAATATGTAACAGCTTAGGTTGGTTGGTTAAGAGTTGACCCCAAACAACTAAGCATATGTCAAAACAGTATTGTTCAAGTATCCATTCACTTCCTTGTTTTGTATAAGCGTTATATTCCCTATTATCTTATATTGAATGTTGAGAGCCTTTGTTTGTCTGAACAGATAATCCCACTCTCCACTGTGACTGCGCGAAGATCGAAATAAAGACCTATTCACTACTTGTCTGGTTTCTTCTATCAATAGCACGAGGGTTACCTTAAGGCACGAAACTGGTGAGCCCGACGTGATATTGATAGAAGAAACCAGACAAGTAGTGAATAGGTCTTTATTTCGATCTTCGCGCAGTCACAGTGGAGCGTATAGTTTTATTAAAAACCCAGAACCTTCATAGTGCAATGCCCCCAAATTTTCAAATCTGATTATTTCTTGATAAAGCTTAATCATTCATTTAGGGGAAGTCAGTCAGAAACTTTACATAACCTAAATACTTCTCCATAAAAGCCAATCCACTCCTAGTGTGTTTGATTTCACCAATAATGAGATTTTCACAATGTTTCATTGGATTTTTTCATAGTGAATTAAATTTTCAACCGAACTTCAGTCATATTAAAAATTATGGTAAAGAGTCTAGTTACACACTGGTTTTCGTTTATTCTAGTTAATAGAAAACCATTTGGTATGTATGTTTTTATTTAAAATGTGTTTTCATTGAATACATCTTTAAAAATCTACTTCTTCTGAAGTCCAACTCATAACACTCATCCATCACACGTTTATTAACGGAATTTGCGGCAGCGAAACATGGCCATTAAGAGTAGAAGACACTCTTAAGCTACTAGTATTTGACCACAGATGCCTTAGAAATATTGCCGGTGTCTGCTGGGATCACCGGGTAAGTAATAGTGAGGTTAGACGCAGGGTATTAGGGAATGATGGTAAATCAGTTGACGAGTTTGTTAATCTTCATCGACTGAGATGGTCGGGCCACGTGTTACTTATGCCTGAACACCGATTACCACGACGTGCAATTCTAACCGGTGTTCGGGATGGTTGGAAAAAAGTTAGGGGAGGCCAAACCAAAACGTGGCATCAGTGCTTGAAGTCAATAACTTCTAGTCTGAGCCATGTTGGTAGATGCAGACTACTTGGTTGGGGTCCGCGTGACTATCGTAACCAATGGTTGGAGACTGTGTGTGACATGGCTCAGAATCGATCACAATGGCGTAGGTGTAAACACTCTCTGTCTTCCCTTAAACTGAGAGATTAAAATCACTTCATATCTTTCTTTCTACTAACTAATTCTTTCTTCCTGTACTGTATCCTTATATGCAATCTTTCTCCTATATATTACCACCTTTGACCTAACCACTCCCATGAATCCGGTGTCCATCTTGTTGTGTTAATGAGGTATGGCAACTTGGACCGATGCATATATGTGTCTGATCCTACGTTGTAGCTTACTGATTGACTGACATTTTGTCATATCGATAATCATCAAGATCGTCTGTAAAAGGTTAACAGACACGAAATGTTCAAAACATGGTTGTTCATTGAACCATTTAATTTATTTTCTTATAAAAAAGTTTTAAATACAAAAACATTGACCAATTTATTCAACTTCTGAGGACAAAAACGAACCTATAGGATGTCCAGGTGTACATATATCTTGGCAAGCTTTATGACTAGGAAAGTTATTTCCATATTGTGGACAAGTTATATAGCTTCTGCACTGTGTTTCTCTAGGTTCGAAATACCATCTAGTAACCATAGCATTGCAGCCAAATGGTACTGTTACAATCGGGTTCATATGACAGACGTCTAAAATAAAGACAAAGAGATTAAGCGATTTCGAGCTTTAAAAAAACTAATAAATGAAGAATGTTATTCTAATTCACATCCTCTTACGGCTTTACTTTAATATACAGTTATATTTATGCTCGTGTATGAAGAACAATAAATATATTGAGGTAATGCGTTAGTTAACAATTACAGTGATGTACACTAAACATCAACCATATTAAAAGATAGTCATAAATCGATGGTTTAATGACATGCTTAGTAGTAGCAGTATTGGTGATAATAGTAATGGTAAGAATAATGAATGCACCTCATAGTCACAGTATACGAAATAAGACGAAACTGTACTAACTTTAAGTGATCCTTCCTGAGTTACTAATGGGGATGTTGAATTTGTGCTTTAGAGGAACTAGTACATCCACAATATCCACCTCTACGGAAACAGCTGAATCTATAAACTCACACTGTGAAGACGAAATTGGGTAACTTATCCCTTGTTTGAGAAAAAATTTTGATCGACTAGTAAACAACAAACAAGAACTAACTGTATCAAACGTTATTTTTGGCATACTTGTCTAATGTGTCAACTAAAACGTCCCATCTAGTGAGCTTCTTGTATACTTTTTTTCAAAAAAACGTCCGGAATAACCAATTTTAGTTACCATACTGTGTTTGTATTGTGTTGTAACGGGTGTGACTGCAGGGTTTGATACGCAGTGTTTATTTATCGATTCAAGGGACAGTGACACGTAAGGACGACCTAGTGCCCTGATTGGTCTCGCTTCCCTGTCTAGCCCCAGCCAGTTGAGTCAAGAACGCAAGTCACAGCCTCTGAGTTATGAATCATTATATTTCAAACATACTTTGTTTATATACTAGTCAAGCAGACCACAACGTACCACAAAGTAGAAAATAACATTGTACAATATTGGCCAACAGGAAAATAACACGTTAAATAAATATCGACCAATGGGAAATGTACATTTAAGGTCCAAGAACACCATTGGACTTAACATGATAATTATTGGTCTATTTTCCGACTACCTAACAATTGTTTGTTTATATCGCACTATATAGACAGATTTCTGAGAAGTTACAGACCAAAACAAAATGAAATGAGCAGACAAGAAGATCTTTTGTTACCAATTGTTAATTAAAACAAAACTATTCCTACAGCTTAATACTCATGTTCATTGAATCCTTACTGAATTTACTGAAGACAGGGAAACGAACTATACAATCAATCATTAGCTCATAAGCTTTGCTATTTAAAGCATACAAACGTAAATTGCCAAAGATCATTCTCAAGAATAAATCTAATAGAAATGAAATGTTTCAAAGACATCACTGTCTATTAAACGTATTCTTACATGCAAAATTTGTATCATGCCAATTTAATTTACTAAGTGGTGAACTGATGGTTATATTGTGGTGTCGGTTATTATGTTAAGCCCACATACCTTATTCTAGCTTTTGGACAGCCCATTCTACTTGAGTCACATTCTGACCTTGTTAATTATTCGCTTACCAATCTGGACTGTTTTTATGTGAGCTTATGTGTGTATACACTTCTTATCTTATTCATTACATGTCTGTTGCCTACTTTTGTGTGCCTACAAATATTGATTCACGCTTAACTAAATTGAGTTGGCTTACTCGTTTCGCTTAACTCTATCCTATTTGCTTTATATACAAAGTATATGTATTCAAAAGTCTATTCTCGTTATTTGACTTATTTAATTCCGTTATGACTAACGCGATTTAAGTCGATGATCATATACGAGGATAGACGACATATATTTCAATAACAATCATTCCTTAAATCAAATTGGAGTCAGATCCCGGGTCACTAAAGTGGGGAGCCCGTCAACAATATTGCCCTATCTAAATGACGACAAAATAAGGGGTCCCACTAAAGTGGCGAGCCCGCCGCCGCCGACCAAATTGTGCGGTCTGATTGATGTCAAAGGGAAGGGTCCCACTAAAATCTAAACTATTCTTAACAAATTCTAGTTCGGTTATACAAAAACCGACTAGTTTTGCACTACAAATTTGTATGATCGTTATTAAAATTTCATTTCATGAAATATAATACTACATCCAATGTTGACTGGTAGAATTAAGATAATGAATCTTGGAATTCCTGGTTCAATCTAGGTTAAGAATATTTATTTTCTGCTAGTATTAAACCACGACAAACTACTTAAAGACGTTGGAAGCTTTGTTTATCTATCTGAAAAATTCTTTATATTCGGTTAGTTTGGCTGATTTCGCTTTTTAGAACTACACAACAAATAATACTGGATAAGACGATTCCCGAAATTCATGCAGACGTTTAGGCTCCAACGGAGTATCTTTTCAAGATTGGCTATAAATCCGTTAAGAATTGGGCCAAACTAGAAAGTAACTATCCGAATACAGTCAGTGTCTATTTTAATCGTTTTATGTGACATTGATTGTTCGAGATTATCAGTTTGTTGGTCGGATTAATCATGCAATACTAACTTTGTATAACTGACTAACCATTGGTCATCATATAAAATCTGTGTCACTTGAAACAAGTTCGCATAGTCCTTTTAATACTCTACGTTAAACATCGCATAAATTATTCTTTAATGAATCATATCACTTTATAAAACAATTGGTAAACTAACTTTGTGTGTCTGTTCCTCGGGGTGGTTTTGGTAAGCAATGATACTGACATGCACTACGAGTTGCATAAACACCTTCAGGTAGATTTCCAGTCCTTGCTTGCCATACTCCAAGCCATTGACTTGTTCTTCTCAAACGAAATGAAAATTTTTTATGAGATATTTGAAATTCTCCTTCTCTTTCGTCTGGTTCACAAATTTCAAAGAAATAACAATCTCCGATGGTGTGGTTATAGGCCCATGCTTGAATTCCACTTCCAGGACATTTTGTGATTGGTTTATCAAAATGGCAGCGAGCAAACTCTTTAAATAAACGTGTCAGAATAAAATATCATTAATAATAACTGAATAGTTGGTAACCTTTCTTAGCCGATTGTGCAGAAAATTTGCTCCATATAAAGTCTAACGCAACAGAGAAAAATAAGTAGTTTGGCAACCTATCTATTTGCTTATTTCCTCTGCTTAATAACAAATATTTCTGGAAAATGTCATTACTTAGAAGCCTCAAATCATTTAAGTTATCTACCATGTGAACGAATTTAATAGGTCTCATGTTTTATTTGTACATTAGTTCCCAGTTAAATTTAAGCTTTTAGATAAATTTTTGTTCTCTGAACAGGATGGTTTAATCATGGGGAATTCATCGTTATTATGAACGACATCATCAGTAAAACCTTCAGGTGGAAGTGAAATGTTCGAATTTTTCCACATATTACTCGCAGCTTTTCCTGTCGATCTCGTTCTTGATTGGTTATTGAGGACCTTTAACCTCTCATTGTCTACTTTTTCATTTTGATTGTATCTCCAAGACTCAAATCAAATCTACCTGAATTTTGTGCTGATGATGTCGTTCAGAATAACGTTAAAAGCTCCACAACTAAACCATCCAGTTCAGAGAATAAAACTCCGCCAAAAATCATCCTGAACTGCAAATCTTTACCATCTCAAATTTAGGCTTTAAAAGCGAGTAATTCCAGGTATAATTTATAGAAGTGATAATGATCCCTATATATCTTTAATCTATAGGTAAGCCAAATATAAAAATATCATTATTAGAAAGGTTTGAGTTGTCCCATTACTAATATTCCTGAGTAAAGTTTGATCAATCCTAATTGGTATATGTGTTATATAAGAACTATTTCGGCACAGACATTTTTTACGCTTTTTGGAAGAGATGAATTAGTCTGCCGGCCAAAATCCAACTTGTGGAAAGTGGATAAATAGAGACGATTGACACAGGATAAGCATCTGCCAGCAGACACTGAGAAAAATTCAGTCAACAATATCAACAACGGGACTACTCAAACCTTCTTAAAAACTGCATTAATATCATCCTCGTTAAAAAGGTGAGTAACTAACTGGACTGAGTAGCTTAGTGGATAGTGGGTTTTTATTTAAAGAGCGAAGTAAAGGATTCGAGTTTTTATGCGGGCATCAACAATAGGTAGCACATAAATTTAACTGATGAATTCCAAATTAGCCCAAATACTTGTCCTGAATCCCAGTGCTAGCCTTGATTTATCTCTTTAGTTAAATACAAAACTTTAAACAAAACAGCACTTTGTGATCTAAAAAGCTGATAATTTCTTGAATAATAATGAAGCTGCAAATGAAAGCATATCCGGTAAACCAGTTCAGAGTACTTAATCTAAACCTAACGTCTTCTTTTCTTCCAGTAAAAGAGTGAACACTGTTTTAATAAGTACTGAGTTATTTACATGAACAATAAAAACTGAAAAAAATAACTAGAAAACATTGAAAGTTTTGTAAACCTAGTCACTGATGGTAGTCTTATTGCAGTGGGGCACCACCATATCTATTTTCATGTAATAAAGTCCTGAGTTTCGTAAAGAGCTTTCATGATGTATATCTTGCTAAAACTGTTATGTTGTAAAACATCTGTTTATCAGTTGTAGTGCTTTAAGCATTGTAAACTCTAGCTCTCCCAAAACACGAACGACTCGTTCGCCTTCAGAGTGATCAATCATCTGTAATTGTCATATTGCTAAGAAATGTCAAGTTCTTGGTAGCTCTTAAAAACAGGTAATGATGGAAGTGTGGTGTATGCTACTTATATTGACATAAGTAGTATATGATGTTAGTTGTGAACAGAAAGTCTGGCAGCAGAGAGACAAGAGGATCGAACAGTAAAGAATCGAAACAGAATGCAATTTGTATGAAAATCCAAGAATAATGAAGTCTGAGTCATTTTGAGACAATTGGTGGACATTTTGCAGATTAAGCCTTTACTTTATGATTGTTAGATTTTATTAACAAGTCCTGTACGTTTGTGTTAAATATATTCGATTGTTCTCACCCATGTTCTGCTAACAACAGAAGCTTTAAAATAATCTCGATCCGAATGTCACAAAGATTATTTCTTATGAGATATCAATCAAAACAGTTCAACATAGAATTTACCTAACGAATATTTGGAATATCAGCGGTGCGAAACAAAGTTTATTATAAACTTCCGTTGGTGGTTAATTATTTGTAAAAACTGTATTATCTTGGATCAATCTAGTTGGATACTTTATGTTGTAAAAACATATAAAATTTGTATACTTAAGAAAATGATTTGTTAGGAATAAATTGATAGTAGTACAATTTACTATTTATTAAGGTATTTGTCCATAGGTATTGCCCTACATCTTTTTATCGGTTACATTCAAACTGACAGTAGAACAATTATGATTTAGGCAAAGTTTCTTTTGGAAACAATGATTAAAAGATTTAAATTAGTTTTTCAATTACAGCAGATTAACATGTGATATAATTACATCAAAATAATATCGAGTTAATGAAGATTAACAGTACGCTGTTGTAAAAGTGCATCATTCTAACAAATAAATGAGTGGAAAAAACACACACACATCGAGTTGCAACTTTTTCAATCTGCAACATTTAAAAACATTTGTTTAAGTGTGTTCTGATATTAGTTAGTATAAATTAATTCCATATCCAGATTTAATAAGACAGACTTTTAAAATAGATACCTGATAATCGAAAATCTACCAACTAGGTTATCATCAACTATTGAATTTATTTAAGTGGAATCTAGTTCATTATCTCCCCGTGTGCAGGTCGTGAATGCGTACTGCTGAAGAGTCCTATACCATGATGAAACGGCTATCCAATGCTTCAAAGTTTTCAGTAATGATCTAGCTCCGACCAGTTTGTGATTTCAACAGTAGAAATACTACAATCTCTACAAATCCCCTTTATGAATATCATTGTTCTGTGTGTTATAAAATTATGAACCTTAATTCACGTTAATTAAAATACCTTTATTTGATATTTAATTGTGATATAAACACTGGAAAGGTGTAGTACACCGTTCCGATAAAAGAGACGAAAGAATAGCGTTTAACTGAAAAAAATTATTCCACGACGGTTTAGGGCAGTATAATATACGTATTATACAGAGATGTTTATTGTGAAAGAATCTTATTCAAAATTCACCATACATAGATGAAATGGATGAAACTTAATTAAATATACATCATTTACTTCTATTATTTTAAAATAATTTTAAAACAGTCATCAATAAATGAAATATGATGTCTCAAATACTACTTGAAAATCCTAATCACTGACTGTAAACCATTCATAGTTGAACTATTGACTCCTACTATTAAAAAAACATGATTTAAGTAGTTTCAAAGAAGGTCGGAAACTTAAGTACCACATTATAAAACTGGAATTCACTGAGAAATTTCTTTACGTTCTCATTTGTGAATGGTAAAATGAATAATTTATTACATTACACAGTTTATATAATACATGCTTTGCGTGTTACAATATAAACTTATTTCTTCCTAGTAAATATAATCAATCCATTACTACATTTAAAAAGTTATTTTAACTACCTGACATTATTTATCGAATCAAATCTTATTTCTTTACAACTGCGTATAAGTCATGAAAACACAACTTTATTAACTTGAACAAATATTCGTCAATATTAGAAAAACTAGTTTGACAAAAACTAGGCGCCGAGTATAGAAATTTCATTATATGAGAAAAATTTTAATTGAACTAATCTCAACGATTGAAATTTAAAATAATTCCAACGTTTCGTCCAGCAAACTTGTCTAGACTTCTTCAGGGTAATAATCCTGGTTGAAACGTTGGAACTATTTTAAATTTCAATCACTGAGATTATTTCAAATAAAATTTTCACATATAATAACTTTATTAGCTATTCTTATAAACTATATATTTATAGTTAACTTAAAGTAATCTAAGTGACTTATTAAATAACCGTAAAACTACAATCAATACATGAAATGCAATTGGAAAGTCTATATTTCAGATCAAATATATTAAATATATAGTACAAAGTTAAGATAACCGTCATTACACATAAATTTATTGTTTCGATTTTGGTATAGGGAAACTTAGTACACAACATTCATATAATCATCATTCTTTTACTTATAATCATAATGTAACCCATCGTCCTGACTTAGTAACCCGTAGTAAGGTTCTAGCAACGATGTATATAGTATTAATAATAGTAATAAATGGAAGAAAAAGAAGAAAAGGTAGTAATAAGTTTTTTTTCAAATAGATAGTCATAAATCAAATGGATTGTGCAAAGTAACTTCTTATTTAAAATCATTTACTTAAGCTGTATATTCTTATTTATTCATTATCCTTTAGGAACTGTTAGTATTTATAATTCACTATGAAATTTGTAGCTTTATTGGCGTTAACTAAAAAAACTAAACAAACTTAGAAACCGAGATGAAAAGTAATCATGAAATAGATAAATTTACAGATAGAAGTGGGTGTGAATGACCCTAAACAAAATCTAACCCAAAACATCAATATTAAAAGGCAAGTATAAATTCAGTACTTTACGTCTTAAAGTTTGGTTGGGTTTTTATATGATCTAATCACCATGGAAGATCATTAGTGAATTGCTGCTTTATTTGTGATTTGGTCATTCCCTAAAGTTAAGACCTCCAAGGAAATTTCGAGGTATCAATTTCTGTGCTATTCACTGTTCAAAACATGGTGATTTTTAAGTTGAAAAATAAGTAGACAGTAACTGTTTGCTGATAGTTTTCATCACTTAACAATATCGATTAATGAACCATTGATGAACGAGATATACTGTAAATCTGTTTAGTCTAAATTTATGCGTTATTGTTGAAAAACGCTTATAACTCACTTTTAAAAAATGATTGAATAGAAACATTTACCTTGGTTGAACTAAACTACTTTCAGTTAAGTTGTGTTGTATGAAGGCTAATAAATAACCGAATCAGTATTAAATTTGAAGAGAATGGGGTACATTTTTCTGTCATAAGTGATTCAGAAGTAAACCTTAAGATTAATTACTGCTTGTTCCATAGCTTCAAAAAAGAGATCATTTCTAGAAGCTAGCAACGTTTATATATATATATGTATATTCATGAAAAACTAATATATGACTTTTTGCCGCCATTTCATCATAAAAGTTACACTAACTCTTTGCTTCGTGAAGCTGTCAGTTTACTTAAAAAGTTAAAGTTCACCTTTTGCTAAATTATAGTCTATTTGTTAACGGCTAATCGGAAAGCGATTGCTCAATCATTAACGTCCTTAGATTAATAATAAAATTGATTTATATTAACATAGATGAATGTGATTGTTAACACCTAAGAAAACTGTTGATAAACAAAACAAATGAATATAATTTATAACTCACTTGGATTTTTCAAACGATTCTCGCACACTGTTTGACATTTTTCTAATGTGTCAAAATGATTTCCACGGGCACCACAACCGGTATATGTATAAGGTTGACAGTGACCCAAACGACGATCATAATAATAACGAGTTAATGGTACATAAGGGTATTCACTTGTTGTTTGATATTGACCACCGGATAGTGAACATGTACCATAACTATGACTATCCAAACAAATATCCCAAGCTAAATATGCATACATAATTAATAAACACAATTAACCGTTGATTAAACCAACTGTTTACAAGTTTTGTCAATTCACTATTCCAGTTTGCACTGAAAGATATGAGGTACCGTTAAATAGAAGTCTGATAAGAATATAATTATTCGAAACTTTACATAAAAATCCTAATAGTGTATTACAATTTAAATGATACCGTTAATATTTGTTCATTCTATTAAACGTTTCCTTGTTCGACTACTCTATTTTTGCTATTTTTTTCTGACTGACGAGGGGCGATGGGTAAAATAAGATTTTGGTCTAATTTGATCTTTTTGTTAATTTTCAGAAACATCAATAAATATTACCTTAATAGTAATTCAGTGATAAAAGATATCAGGTTTTAATTATCCCAAAATGATCGAATATTACATAAGATTCTTGAAAAATGCAGTGCGTAATACGCTTTGATAAGTTGTCATCTTCTTAATTACTTGTTTATTCTGGTTAACAGTATTTTTGGTCAGTCATAGTTACCTTACAGATTGAGAATTTATTTGACCGACAGTAGTATTATCAAAAGTCTTTAACTCAGAATTGAGTCGAACGGTACTTGGTTCGAGTCCCAGAGTAAACACCAACTCTGGGATGCCGGTACATTCAGCCAGAGAGTCCCACCTAGGACAAAACGTACGTTCTGGATCCCACTGCTAGTGATCACTCATCTCTGTTTATGAAGATACATATGTTTCTTATCCTTTTGGGCGAATCTTGCTGGAATCATATTCATATAAGAAATAGGAGTTAAGCTCATTATTGTTTGCTGTTTAACAACCTTTTTAATCACAGAGGTGCAGAAAGTCAGGTTATTGATGAGGAATATGGCCCAAGATGATGGATAGAAAGAGTTATGATAATTCAAAATTTTAAAATGAATTTCACAAAATCGCATGATACAAAATAATTAGATTTAAAACCTCGCTAGTTTTTCTTTAATTTCTTAACAGCAACTGTCCCAATATTAACTGGTGTATTCTGACGAATACTTTTAAGGGGACCTTCTGAAGGACAAGAAGGGTTGTATTAAATGATTCAGAGTTTGAGTATCATTTGATTCTCTTATCATCATTGAATAGGGCCATCATACTGGTAGGTAAATATGATACAAATAAATCAACATAGAATAAGAAATAACTGTCATTTTTCTGAGTCAAAATGTCTAGATGGATAGTTTATAAGTTTGATAATGAAATAGTTTTGTCTAAATTCAATAGACTGCATGGTATGAATGTCTTTTCTATTTTCAATATATTTTATAGTAACCAAAACAATAATCTGGTGACTTTACTGACATTTATGTTTTGATTTCAAAGTAATATCACAATGACTACACATTAACTTAGAATTATTTAGTAAACATGAAATTTCATAAAATAACTTACGATAACGATCTGTATGATGTTGTGTAATTTGTTTCATCTTCTCAAATACCTGTGCACTTAACGGTGGAGATTCATCATAATCAACTAATGTTTCTTCCACTAAACTTTGTTGTGATTTCGTATGATTTGATGTACTTAAAATATGTGTTGAAAATTGAGAACATGCTAGTTCACATTCTTTTCGCGAAAGAAATCGATTAAAGTTGCCTAAACAACCTCCGTATAAAAATACTCGACATTTTGATGTATTGCTGTCATAAAAATAACGAGTTTGAAAACTTGTACATGGACCAGGATCTTTTGGAAGTTGACAAACTTCTACATAAATAAAGATAATATGTTAACTACATGTACTCGTTTCTTTCAAAAGCATCAATTTATTACATATATAGATTTATAAATGCTGTACTTTGTCTTTGAAAGTCATTATCCGACTACTTATAGTAGTGCAGTCATCATGATTATCTAAAATAACATTTAAATATGAAAATATTATGAATCGAGAAACGACTTACTCAAGAACCATGAACATCCTAAATTCATTGAAATTAGTATTATATTTCAAGAAAGTCAACAGAGTTTATGTCTGTGGGTTCACGGGATCTTGTGACTTTCAATTTTGATAAAAATCCTTTCGTTCTTAGTCATGTTCAATAATTTTGGATAATATTCAGAAATAAAGTTTTTTAATGTCGTAAGATTTTGGTTTCTTGTGACTGAGTTGATTTCCTAGTTACTTCAAGACTACAGAGACTCCATCAACTCGGTAATTTCGTATACACTTGGATATCGGTTACCCTTAACAAATGATAATAATTTATCTTAATTTATCACACTTTTATTTAACCTTATTTGTTTGAATATCAACTGACCTTCAAAACTAGATGCCATACAAGTAGTTTCACATTCACTTCTTGAAGCGAAATTATTTCCAGGTTGTTCAATTATTTGATCAGGATTTGTACATTCAGAAAAACGTACACATTGGTTAATTTCAGGTAGATATGACCAACGATAAGTTTTAATACTTTGATCTGTGCAGTTCCACATGACATGAGTTTTCCGAGCAAAACAGCGATCTTAAATAGGCGAGAAAATTTGAGAAAACAGAACTTGAGCAACAAATTGTTATACATTGCTATAATGAGTAATATAATATTACTTGACAGAAAATTTTTTAAACTTATTTTTGCTTTAGTTAACTGTCTTTCATGTCTTCTGAATCTGAAGACTGGAACACAAACTCAGGACTTTATTCTTATGTTAGTGTTAACCACTAGACAGTATGAATTATTTAGCTAGCTAGAGTTTCATACCTTAATTATGAATGTGACATATCATCTGCATTACATTTTCTCTTCGTCTTATGCACCAATAAAAAAATTGCAAATATCAACTACGTAAAGTATTAACTCTAAAAATATGGATTGTGTGCTCAGTTCGGAATTGATTGAGCTAATCTCACTTAATCCTTGTTAGCTCAGATATCTATCGAGGAAATATTGGAAATCAATCAGCAATATCAGTAGACTTTCAAAAGAACATTTGAATGTACACTGATTCTATTAGATACTATTGAATAATTTGTTCATTTCAAAAAGTTAATCCTTTACTCTGAAATGTTTAAACATCTCACTTCAAGAAACTTCACTTTTACGCTGGAAAAAATTTTTTTTATCTACTAACTTGTCTATGAACTTTCTTTTTATGTTGTGCGATCTACGAATGGCTTGAGAAAGAAAGCTTTTATTGAATCATTAGTGTCAAATGTGAACTGAATGTGAATTTCAGATATACATATTTGATTTTGAATCAAAATTATGCTAAACAATACTTAAAAGAGTTATCAGGTAATCGTACCTCTCTTTTGATAACATTTTTTATTTCCTTATAATCAACCTACTTTAAATTAGACGAAGTAACGTTGCTACTATATGGATAGAAATTAGTAACCACTGGTAAGTTTTTTTTGCTATTTTATGTGGTTTTTTTAATACAGTAATAAATAAAGCTTACTTTGTAAATGTTTTTCATTTGGTGAAGATTTGACACATTCTCGTAAACAATCGTAACCATTTGGAAAGTATTGTTCCATACTACAACCAGGTCGTTTTGTATTTAAATGAAATGCTTTACATGTAGCACTGGACATACTAAAATGAAATGCAATGACATCTTTTTCACTTGATACATCCTGTTGATTACCACTTACTGATAGTGTGTAACATTTTTTGATATGTGGGTTTGAATCGCAACGTTGATCCCCTAAATATTGAATTATATAGAACATAGCAAATAGAAATTATTCTAAGTCATTAAATACGATTGTAACGTTAATTAAATCTATACTAATAATGGAAAAGAAATATTTATTAACAAGTATATCAAGGAGTTGAAAGAGACATATTTTGATGTTCGTGATTAAGTGTAAACTAATGACGAGCTATCATTTGTGGCAACTAACTACAGTGATCCACTACGACTGATTTTATCAAAATTCGTCTTAGATGTGCATCTAGTTGAAATATTTCCTTTATTCTTTTTATCAAAAACTGGTTTTATAGTAAACAGTCCCTCTTATTGAGCTGGACTGTTTAGATGTTATATAGTTACCGACATTAAATAATCTAGTTTAAAATTGATCCTAATGATCTGAAAACATCGGCTTTTATTTTCGTCTGTCATACACTATGTTATTAAATCTTATTCTTAGTTTTTATTTGTTCACTTAGCCTTATTTATTTAGATGAAATAAAACTGTTGGTATCATTATTGTTTATAATGGTAGCAGTTTATTATACCGAAAATTAACTCATGGGATAATCGTGATTAGACTAATTTTTGTACTAAAAATATAACGGAACTTACTATCAGGCCTGACAATTCTAGCTTTACATGCCGCCTGACAAGCTTGAGCATCGTCAAATGTATTTTCTGAAGCACCACATCCACTGTAACTGTATGCTTCACAATTACTAGTATGAGCATTAAAAAACCATCTTTGGAAGTTTAAAAAGTGGCATGTCTGATTTCGTCGATGTTCTTCAGAGCAATTTAATGGTCGGCAAAAGCCAAAAACAGGATGTCGCCGACAGGGTTCAAGATCTAATTAATGTGAAAAGATAGATTAGTTTTTATCAATATTAAATACTGCAAATAATCTGGAGTAAAAATATTTACTTCAACCAGCTCAGTAAACAAAACTCTATCAAAATCATCCACCTGAGCTACAAATCTCCTACTATGGAAAACATCATTTGTTAATTCAAAAACATTGGTTACAAACTGATGAATTTATCTTTTAGCTGAAACTTGGATAAAAAGATTTACCATTCGAGTTCACTTTTATTATTACACTTGTTAGCTGACTGTCATTCTGACGATTAAAATAGATTCTTGATAAAAACTAACGTAGACTTATGTTTCAACATGTATCCATGTTCTGTTTACAATCAACTTTTTTTTAAATGCTTTCTGATCTTCAAATGATGAAAGAAACTGTTTGTACAACAAAATGTATAGCTTGGAAATATGCGAAAAATTTCCATAATACATAACAATATACTGATTTAAGTATAGAATTGAAATAATTTTGTGTACATTTAGATGTTATTAGATTAAATTATACATTTATCTAATATTTTATTAGTCAGTTTTTGCATGAACAGTCAATTTAACAATACATGATCAATTGAAGTGGTTATGATACTATTGAAATATAGCTAGATCTCAGTGTAAGTTATGATGAAAAATAAAATAAATTATATTAAATTCTTAATTTATTAGTTAAGATCATGAGTCAATTGAAGCTAGACCACCATGGAAAACCTGGAAGTACTAGACGGTCGTTTTGTCTTGTTGTGGGACTCCTTAGCATGGTGCGTCAACACAGAACCTACCGGTCTCGTACGCGAATGCTTAACCTCTAGACCACTGATCCGGCATCCAACGGTGTTAATGTCTAACTTCAACTAATCAACGAAATCGAGCGACACATCCACCATTGTTTTAAGTGACTCATGATCTCAACTATTAAAATTAATATAATATCCACAAAACCCCTTCTGATACTAAATTCCTATTGTTTAGCAATAATTTTCAACCTAGACAAAGAGGTTATTATCATATAAGTTATCATCTATTCTGATTGTAATGCAATTTCCTTTTAAGGGATGAACAAACGATTTCAAAGTTGTAAACAATTATTTCGAACATAAAATATGTAGGCAACACTGTCAAATTTAGCCCACATAAAACGTTAACTAAAAAACAGTTATAGATTACTTGACAATGTTTTAAATAACGTCACGTTTTAAGGAAAACAACGTTTCTGTCTATTGCTTCCGTCATCAATAGGAAAGTTTAAGAATGAAAGTTGTTGGTTAATAGAAGTAGTTCGGTTTTTAACGTTAAACACAACAAAACAGTCATCCTAACTGTATTTAATTATTTTACACAAAATAATAGTTAAACGATACTGAGACACAAATTCAGCATTAATGCACATAGAAACTGGTAGACAATAATTCAACTGGAAGATCAGAAATTCTGGATTGAAAAAATTCTTTGAATATTTAATAATATCACTATACATAAAATTTGATCATCTAAGAATGAGCTAACAGACAGATATAGACCCAGTTTTTAAATCTATAACTGAAAAACTACTAACATTAGCTAGTCACAAAATCACTAAAAGGATGGAATAGTAAATCATAGCCAATGATCCACGATTACTACGTATACGATAAATTTTATTCATGAACAGTTGATAATGCTATTTATACATATTTCTGATCTGTGGGCGAGGGTGATAATGATTGGTTGTTTGCTTAGTCAGACATGTAGGTGATCTAACAGGCTTTATATGAGTTATATGTTCTCCTATCCTTATTATTATTGATTATTCTTGGATTGTGTCGTATTGTTGTTGGTTCTTGGTGTGGAAATATATTAACTTTCTAAACAGACTAGTCACATGTTCTTCATCTGAGTTTTGTTGAAATCCTATAGAATAGACACTGGGAGAAAATCTAGTGCAGATATTCATCTAAGGTAAATTAGCATCCCATTCATGTTGAAGTGAAAATCCGAGTGTCACATAACAGTTTCTAAAATGTGAAATTACTGAGACTTATTTCACTGAACTGAAAGCTTTGTGAAAAAGTGAGTACTGCAGACAACAGGTTAAAATTTACCTTGTATCTCTTAACCTAAATGACTAAGCGCCAAAAATTATAATTCGTCCGAATTTCTGAAAATCTGTTATAGTGAATGAGAACACAAGTGGGGGCAGTCGAATGTATTTGAACACAAAATTACACGTTTTATTAAAATCTTAGAACCATATAATAAATAGTTCATTTGCAAAATGCCAATCAATCGTCTCAGACTTGATTGTTCCTTCGTTTCTATAGTAATCATTCTCTATTCTCGTTCTCCTTTCTTCGATCTTAACCTTCTGCCTCCAGGTATTTCACCTCCGACTGATGGTACATACTACTTATATCTGTCGACATCAGTAGCACAGGCCACATTGTTACTAAAAAATAATACACGTCTCATCTATAAATGTTTTTATACATTTTTCATATACACAGTTTCACATTAAACAAATCTTCTAAATGTTTCTACTTATTTGTAGTAATTGTCTATTTACAGGAATTAGTGGCTTTTCCAAGTTAAAAAGAATTAGCGTTTGTCATTCTATGAAGTAATTTGCTTTTAAACATTTCGTTTATCATCTCTAATATTTTATAGCGTTTAGTCCTTTGTTAATCTTTGTCACTTTTTGAAACATTTTCTTTGGCAAATATTTATTCTCTTCATTTATTGTGCAAAGGATTTTAAATGTATCAAGTCACCAATCTTTTTAGATTACAGCTAAGCAAATTAATTAAATCCCCTTGAAGTGTATGAGTTCTTGTCTCTTATTGAATGGTGGTCTGTTGTTAAATGTTGAACTGTTAACTTTAGCCTCAGATATGAACAGCACCAAAACACCTTGTTAAAATCCCATAAAACGTGTACAATTGGAGATTCTTTGATAAACCTAGTGTAAAATGTCATTTATCTTGGTGTAAATTTTTCCTCAGATCTTTCTTAGTCTTCACATGTTTCACTGTTATTAAAGAAAGTTTCCCGACGGGCTTGCTACATAAAGAGGCTGAATGCTTTTGCCATTACTCCACATTTACGCTTACGATTTGTTAATTCTTGCATATTCTTTACTTTTCGCCATCAATCTTTCCCGAACTTTAGAAAAAAGACTATGCTGTATTGCAAAGCGTGCTGAAGGCAGTTAGCAAGGTATTTGGTAAAAATTTTTAACGTCATTATTAATATGTCTGTAGATAGACATCTAAAATCTTGCAACCTCCTGGTATGTGTTATCTTATCATATAGTGACCATCCATTTCATTCATATCTTTCCCCTTCGTATATCTTCTGGCAGAACAAGACGTCAGTACATCCAAATCGATGCATGAAATCAAAGGTATAGAAGCTCTACAATACCTTGTCTAGCAAATATGCTATGTGCCGGACAGGTTGTTAGAATTGACCTAGTCAATAAATTATATTCTGAAACATGTTTCTAATTAAAAAAAGTTGTACAGATTCAAATCTTAAAAAGGTATTTCATTATGTCCCAAGTAGATTATCTACTTAAGTTATAAATATTCAGTTATTAGTTTTACTTTTTTTCTTTTTTGTAAAAGAAACTTGTTGAAATACTTTGTGTTGAGAATTCTATACTGTACCAAAGGTATAAAGCCATTAATAATAATGATAAAATTACAAATGGATGTTTTGTCTTTTTGTGGGGACAAACTTCGTGTAATAAAGTGAATAGTTTTATCTAATTCATATTTTATGTTATAGTCTATGACCATCTAGTGATAATGATGATGAAATGGATAAATGAATAATCATTTGAAACGTAACATTATTAGAAGTGTAAACTGATAAACACCTACCGATATTCATTAAAGTTAGCTTTATCATATTTTTGACTAAATTATTATGTATAGTTTTGTTTGATTCAGTGATTACTATCGTTGGCTGATTATTATCTTTATTTCGATTAGGTTCATATTGTGTCGTTACATTATCCAGTTGTTCCACAGGATCAATATTAATTTGTAGTTCAACCTTTGTATTAAATTGACATGTCAATTCACATGCAGCTTGAGTTGGAAATCGATTACTATTTCCACCACAACCAGAATAATTGAACTGTCTACAGCCACCAATTAAGTAATGATCTTGTCCATCCATATTCATTACCCAATTGGGATCATAATACCACATAGTTTTGTATCCGGTACATTCGCCAAATGAAGGTTTCAATTTACAGATAGCTATTAAATAATAAGAAATTTTGTTTTTATTTTTATTTTTTTCAGTTTTTTTTTCGTCGAAATAATCACTATGACAAAGTTAAATTAACCAAAATTTATTAAAACATGAGCCTTACACATGTAACAGTAATGTTTTTCCAATAAATACGGTACAAATGAATAGATATGGCATTTTAGAATGTTTCGTTTATCGTACTTCTAAATTAAATCATACTATTATTGTAAGGCATATGCAAAAAAGTTAAAATATATCGAGTTCATAATACGAGACGAACGAAATAATTGAAGGCTGAGGAAAAATCAATTTTTGAAATAAATTCAAAAATCCACAGAGCATCATATTGAGCTTGAAAATAAATCTATGATACTACTATATATAAAAGATCAACGGCATAAATCGGGTTTTAGATTAAATAATGTTCTCCAGGAAGATTTGTACATTATATACATAAAGATTATTATTTCAATCTTTATATAATTTAGATGAGTAACGATAGTTTACATAGGCATTATTAAGCGTGAAAAGCCAATCTTAAACTGTTCTTCTGTAATAAATAAATAACAAACGATTTCAATAATTGAGATCATGAGTCAATTGAATCTAGACCACCATGGGAAGCCTGGAAGCCCTGGACGGCCTTTTCGTCCTACTGTGGGACTTCACAGCAGTGGGCATTCACGACCTCGCCTCGCGAGATTCGAACCCAGGACCTACCGGTCTCGTGCGCGAACGCTTAACCACTAGACCACTGATCCGGGTTCGAACCCCGCGAGGTGGGGTTGTGGATGAGCACTACTAAAGATTCCCACAATTGGACGAAACGGCCGTCCAGTGCTTCCAGGTTTGTGATGAAAGTCTAGCTTCAATTGACTCATGATCTAAACTATTGGAATTACTACAATCTCCACAAAACCCCTTCTGACACTAACAAAACGATTTGTTAAGTACTAATTTCAAACATTGTTGTCATTTACAAAAACATACTTCAGACGATCATATACATTTGATATATTTCCTATTGCTAGTAAAAAATGCTGCAACTTATACATTATGTAATAGTCTTTCAAATAATACATATGCAAATCTACTCTTTTACATGAAGGAACACAGAAAATTGATTATATAAGTAAACTGAACTTTGCTATAACCTTTTATCTCACTAATAAAAAGTGATACATATATCACGATATGCTATGAATACTGGTAACATCATATAGCTCATAATCATATTTAAAATCATTATCACAGGATAGCTGTGTTACCAAGATCTTATCACAATTTTGTTTTATAATTTATTTATTTACTCAGATTGATAACTGTAAACGTTGGAACTGCTTCACAGTTTTAGTCAGTATTTAACCAATTGGACACTTTTCGAATATAAATAAACTGGTATCAGTGCGATACAAACAAATTGTTCTCTCTTATTTATAACAAAAACATTCATTTTCTTGTTTAAACTAAGTGCTAGAATAGGATGTCTAATAGTAATGAGTTATTCGTAAACAAAATATCAAGGGGTTTACTACGATAAGAGATTCCTCATTAATTATTCATTGCTTTCTTAATCAATATTAAATGACGAATCTGTAATCAGAATGTGTTTTGTGGAGATTTTTAGAAATTTTCACAGATTGAACTCATGAGTCATTTTTCAATGGTGGTCTAGCTTCAACTGACTCATGAGTTCAATCTGTGAGAATCTGTAATCGTAGTAACCCCCTTAATATATTGTTAATCAGTCTTATTATTATTAAGCAGCCTTTAATTTAATGTTTATCGAGCTTTTAACGAAACTATTCATGGAGGTTTTCTAGGTTTACTGCTGGTCTCAAGCTCGATAAAAAGAGAAGGTTTGGAGGAGGGGCTAGTAATTCCATCCAGTAGAAAGGAACTCTGCTAAAAATAACTCAAGACAGTTTTGTTGTACGGAGTTAAAACATGTACTACTAATGCAACCATGACCAAAACGGTATAGGTGTTTACAAACAGCTATCTATGCAAGATACTCTTGACATGTTTTCCTGAAACCATCAGCAAAAACGTACTATGGCAGAGAATAAACCAACTTTCGGCTGAGTAGGAAATTAAAAAAGGCGCTGAAGGTGGAAGTCATTAAACTCCATCACGAGGCAAGCCTCAACTTCAGATCTTCAAAGTAAAACGAAGAGAGGTAGATCTAAAAACACATTACATAGGGAATTGGGGACAGACATCAGAAGAATGAATGGTACTTGGCAACGTCTGAGAACAAAAGCCCAGTACATGGTAGGTTAGAGATGGCCGTTTGGCGACTTATGCTTTACGAGGGGTAGCAGTAAGTAAATTTTTGAACTAAGAGATACATAATTAAATGAAATTATAACAGTCCCAGATACCGCCTTTAATCTAAAGATGTTATAACAGCTCAAGTGAAATTGAGTTTGTCCACAATTAATTCGATTAACTTATTTCGTTAACTTATTAACGAATTGAGTCATCCGTACAACAACAACAACAACAACAACTTATCTATATCATTGTATCTTTATTATTGCTGCGAATGTATGAACATATATGCTTGAGCATTTCTTACCGCCTACGCATTTATTCACGCTGCTAGCCTCCTACTAACCGCTTAATTGATTCGATGATTCATTCATTTCGCTATGTATATATGTGTCCATGTTATTCATGTTCATTGCTCTATCTCGCTTACTCGTACTCATATTTGCTGGCTTGCCTGCTTGCCTTTCGGCACAACTCTTCTATGTTTGTTTAACGCATCTGTAATTTGGGATATCTGTGTGTGGTCCCGTAATAAACGGAACCAACACTTCGCATTCGCCTTCTGATTAATATACCGTTGGGGCGTTATATAGGACGATTATCAAGACGAACTGTATACGCAGTTTCAGGATTATATCGAATACCGGCCACCACAATGTTATTGGTTGACTTACTTGATATATCAGGTTTTGCAGCCCCACAAAATTGTTCACAATCAGCGCGTGTTAAAAAGTTATTTGAAGACCCACCACAATGAGAATATGCAAATTCCTGACACTGATTTGTTTCAACATCAAGATACCAACGTGATTCATGCTGACCGACATTTGAGCATTCCGGTTCAATGCGCATAGCGTCAATATAGGTAAGATTGTCAAATAGAATAGGTTCAGATATTTCTTTAGAAAAAAAATGACCATCTTGGCCGATTTCACTCCATGTATCCATTTCTATTCTTGACCATTGTGGAAATAACTGGGTTGTTGGAGCCACTTGACAAAGCTGATTGGCCACTGAAAACAAAAAGTGATCAGAATAAACATAAAAATATGAACCGTCTAATTCCAAATCCGTTGTTTAAGGGTGAAGCGCTTGTTGATGTGATCGAAAGTGCTCTCTCCTGTGGAGTCTCAAACTAGGAGAAAATAGATATTTAGTGCTTTCTTGGTTTTCGATGGTTCACTAGTCTATGTAAGTTCACGAAAAGAACTGCGTTCTGAAATGTTATATGTTCGGGCTAGATTCATGGCTTACTAAAGAGATACTGTAAGATGTTTTGCACAAAGAACGCTAAATGAAATGTTAATTAACAAACTATATCGGTGGAAAACTTCTTAGTAAATTACGTGCAACACTTCTGCTCAAGAAATTGATAAAGAATAAGTTAAAATAATCAATGAGAAAACTAATCCATTCCATTTGAACATAACCTTACTAAAATTTCTTTTAAACAAGTAAATATGACACAAGTCTTCATTTTCGAAGAAATTTATCTATCTTTTGACCATCTTACAACTTAGTATGACGGATATATCTAAATATTTGACGCGTTATATTATGAATTATCAACCATGACTGAAAAGTTCCCCTTAAAAGTAAGTAACTTTATATCAAATACTGAATCTCTGGAGAATCCATTTATAAATGATAAGTGATTACATATTACGTTTGAACAAGCATATAAGGGATTAATTCAGCTTTCAAAATTACTGAGTGAAACAAAGTGAACTATGATTTCAAGATACTAGTGTATCACAAAGCTTGAGGTCTTTAAGACTTACATTATTATCATAATAATCTTTTTCTATAAGCTGTATGTTTGCGTTATAACGTTCGAACTACAATAATTCTAATCATGCTTTATTCATCTACAAAATATATTGCACAAAATTTGATGAAACTATTTAAAAACACAAGTTAACTGATATCAACTTACCAAGTACAATTTTATCTGCAATCTTATTTCCACAAGTATCTTCACATTCTGCTATAGATGTAAAACGGTTTGCACTGCCTCCGCATCCATAATAGGTAAACCAGCGACATTTTCCAGAGACTTTATCGAAATAAACCATTAGAATTGGTCGTATAGTCTTTTCTGTATTCACAGCGGAACAGTGAAAATGACCAGCTTGAGGTGGAGCTAGACATCGAGCAGTACCTATATCATTAAGAAAATACTTCCACAATAATCATTTATTATAGGCTCTTATATAATGACTGGGAGTCTCTCTCTCTCTCTCTCTCTCTCTCTCTCTATATATATATATATATATATATATATATATATATATATATATATATATATATATATACCCCACCAAAACTTATCTCAGTTGCTTTCGATTTCAATCACTGATGTTTATTGTTATCACAAGGTTAACGTTCATACTATGCTATAGAGTAAATTATTAGAAAACAAAATGGTTATTAGCTTATTAAGCATGTCTGGTTATTGATAATAAAATCCAGTTGATAGATATTATCATGTATGTTGAATATTCAGATGAACCATATAATTGAAAATCTATAAATTCCTATTCTTTTATAGTAATTTACTGCATCTTGATATCTGTAATTTCTAAGACATTATCTATAATTTATTTGCATCTGTTTCATATTATCATGGAAAAAGAAACTAAATATACCAAGTTATACCTCTCCAGTATTCACATGTTTCAGAGCATTCATTTTTAGTTTCGAAATAATTATCATTTATAATACAATCAGATGTATATTGACATTGCATTTCAGTTGGATTGTAATACCAACCACCTTGATGTTTTATTTCCATATCTGTTAGTTTAGCACAATTTTTTATTCTTGGATATTGATAACATTTTTCTGTAAACAAAGAAAATAATTAACAGTGTGACAATAGAATTCAATAGAATGACAACAAATTTTGATCAAAACATTTATACTACTAAATATTGGACGAGTAGGTCAGGCATTTATAACTCATTTAGTTAATTGTATTGATTCTTCACTTGACAATTATACATCTATGTTTTTCGGGGTAATCTGAGTCTTATAACTGTAGTCGCTAGTAAAAGAGCTCAAAATTTGACAGGTTATAAATTAGTTACTGAATAAATTTATTAATAACTGAAAGAATATTTTGACCATGATATTATGATTGAATGTAGTTAGTTTTAATTAGTCTGCTGTAACTTAATACCTTTAAACAAGAGAATTTATTCTCTATGTAGCTTATAAATCTCATTAGATCATATGGAGATAATGACAAACAAACTTATGATTCAAATATTAGTGTACAATCAGTATTTTTAGTTTATCAATAAGAAATAGAAGGATTAACCGAATAACAGAAAACAGTCTCGTCTAACTGGATTTAAGCGAGATGCATTGTGTGAAAGCTGAATTTACTAATTTTTTCTCAGATTAAACTGATTAGAACCTATGTAAACTGACACGATGGAAAAGAATTAAGATTAGTAACCAGTTCGTAATTCCATTGACGGATGTGTGACCTAGAAAACTCATATTCACCGATCGCTTATTTAGAAATTGTTTATCTAACTACGTCTGTTTTTTGTCTAATGTCTTGTGTAAAATCGAGTAATTCTGTTTGAAAACTAAATCAATCCTATTGGCTACTTTTCTTGACTTTTAATATCAGTTTATTCAAGGAACTGAATTGATAGTTCGAATACGTGATCAGCTATTTGTATTACATGTCGACCATCAGTTTGTTTATTTTCACTGTCTAACACTTCATCGGCTATCTTTCATAACACGAACCAGTGAGATTTAGCTCCGTTTACAATTATATTCGTGCAAAAATCCATAAATGGTTTTTAATTTGTTTTTTAACTTGAAAGATTTTAATATTTATACGATTTATAGTTATTCAGGTATATTATAGAGAATAATGCTTGAAAAGATTTTAACTAATATTCGATAGGTTAAAGTATTCAGCAATCAATTTTAAATTGGATTTATACATACTCTAATCTATGAATAGCACACTCCTATGTGTTAGACCTATAACGTTCTGAAAAGATGTTGATACTTCAATTACAGTTTATAAATCCATGATATCAATAAATCCAAATAAACATAAAACATGTGCTCGCCACCAACTTTAATTTAGATTTAGTCAAATAACTCGAGTTTCTTTAATGATTCCTAACATATCTGGGTATTCATTTTGAGTTCATTATATAACTAATGAGTAGGCAAAGGTTAGAACAAAATTCTTCAGTAGGCACATATATATATATAATACTTCGTCGAATTCTGCATTACTCCAGTAATATTACAAGATTAGTAGACATTAGGCCCAATGAATACCAACTATTAATAATGATATTATTAGTTAAATAAATCATGATAAATGTAATTACAATTGTAAACAAACCTAATACAGAACATACAAATCGAATATCTCAATCATAATGTTTACCATTTATTAACCATGTGATTCTTATAAGATAATAGATTCATATTTTAAAAATAATATAATATCATACACTCTATTCATTGTTATTCTTATTATATTCATAGTTTAATTCAATTATATGGTTGGCTAAAAACTATTAGGTTTACTTTATAAAGATTATCATATTGATTATTATTATTATTATCCTAATGAATTATTATTGTTACTAAGTCCTATCATTAAATGTATGCGAATCAATACAGTCAATTGTATGTTTGTTAATTTTTCATTACTTGGATACAATGTTTAATTGATAAAATGATAATTAGAATTTATATTGAAAAATTATTAAATTTTTAATTGTTTATAAAATAATCTAATTTTAATTGAAATTAATTAAGTTAAATCTTATCTAATAATTAAATATGTTAGATTTGTGAGATATTTTAAGAATGAACAAATTAAGAAGCCTAGAATGATAACATTTCCTAGAAATAGAACTAATAAAGGTGATGTTAATAATAAATATGAGGTTTACGAAGAACATTTAAGTTCCGTCATTATGATCGATCACTTACAGCTTACTAGTTATTTGTACACAAAATATATAAAGTCCTTTATGGAGTAAGTAATATTTAACGCATAATTAGACAATATATTAGTAATATAGAATTTAGTTTCTGTTTGTTTTTTTAAACTGAACATTTCGTTGGCACAAGTACATTGTATAACTGACAGACAATTATGAATTAAAGTTGCGTTAATTATGACAGCTAACACCTTCTAACTCAAAAATGAAACTTATGCTGTTTCATTTTGATGACCGTTTTGAGCACAAGCATAAGGCCAATAAGAAGGTTGAAAACAAAGGCCTTAGCATATAAAAGTGTGTAGTTTATATATTTTCAAACTTTGGAGGATAAAATGGTTTATTTCTAGTTTTAGATTCTATTTGATACCATTTAACTGCTAATTTACAGTCCATAAATAGATATCTTTCAACTATAGATGATATCTGATAAGAAAGTTTCATTTTTCCGACATCATATTCCAAATTTTTTTGAGCTTGTGACTTTATGCTTATAACGTGGTAACAACAGTATATTTAAGTTATTCATAAATATAAAACTATTGAGGTAATAATGGGAAACTTTATTTTATAGAAAAAGACTTTATGGCAATTAAATTAATTTAAAATAAAATTTGCATATATTTAATGCATAAACTCTTAATTGCTGTTACATTTCTTATTGAACTCTGTAAATAACCCTGTAATATCAGTGAAAAACATTCGTACAAATAGGAAATATCATTGGTTAAGATCATGGGTCATTTGAAGGCAGACCACCATGGAAAACTTAGAAGCACTGAACGGCCGTTTCGTTCTATTGCGGGACTCCTCAGCAGTGCGCATCCAAGACCTCACCCCCCGTGAGATTCGAACCCAGGACCTTCTGGTTCCGCGTGCGAGCACTTAACCACTAGACCACTGAGCCGGCATCCAACGGTGTTAATATCTAACTTCAACTAATCCCACAATAGGACGAAATGGCCTTCCAGTGCTTCCAGGTTTTCCATAGTGGTCTAGCTTCAACTGACTCATGATCTTAACCATTGAAATTACTATAATATCCACAAAACCCATCTGATATGAAATAGGAAATAGTAGTGTATTACAAGGTCATATAGTTCTATGAATATAGTTAACCTTAATTATATGTACGAATATTTTATGTAGCCGACAAATTTACAAAATAAACGATAGTAGTGTCCATCACACATGATTAAGTTTATATAATTAGAACAATTGCTATGATGATTGACTTAACTTTTTTTTAAGATCATGAATTCAATTTAAATATCGTCGGAATTTTCATTCGGTCGGTCAATCAATAATTTCATTTTAATGGTATGTAGATGACTGGATAGCATCGAGTGTTAGCAACTCATAATATAATGATATGTAGGTACTATGAAATACTGATATTTGGTTCTTCATGAAATAAGATTTTAGTGAACACTAGTCATGCGAATTATGAACGTTTGTCTGTAGTCATGACTTGATTATGTTTAGCTCTATTTGATTAACTCATCACAATCCCTTTGGCTACAAACTATTTGTATAATAATAAATTTCATCTTGAGAAACGATAAGTTAAATGATATTAGTTAGAATATGGTAGCTATTCCAGTTTAATTATAACTGGGACAAAAATACCTATTCTCATATGCAGTAAATTAATTTTGTCAAAGAGTGCAACGTTAAGACACTATAAAGTTATTATCGAAAAGAACGATTTTTTGACAGAAAGAGTTTCGTTATTGTTACAGAATGATAATCTGTAAACTATTCAGTAGAAACGTTTTTGAAAATACTACTGCAGTAAATCAGAAAAGGTAAAATAACACAATGGTTCGTTCTTTTCTTCAAAATGACTAAGAGACTATCAGCAGTTTTCATAGATAGATACTAGAAAACAGGTGAACGTGTTAGTGTTAGTTACACTACAAGCTTAAGACTATAAAAGTGATTAATAATATTCATTTACTTAATGCAAGTACATACTATCGTAATGATGACATCTGCAAAACAAGTTAAATATCCACGAAAGTCTAAAATAATCTACTTTCATGTTTAATGTTAAAAACTTAAAACCCAGAAGATAAGATCATCTATATATCTGTCTATCCTTCAGGCAGTCAGTCACAATTTATAGAAACGCTCATTTATTTTTAGTAGAAATTACTTTCAGATTTAGACGAAAAATGCATTTGATTGTAGTAAGTGGCATTAAAAAATGATATGAAATCCTTCATTGATAATACAAGTGGGAATTTTAGGGTAGATAATTGTTAATCCCTTCTAATATACATGTTATGAATAAGAAGTGAGAATAATATTTAGATTAGGGTTAGTTAGTTAGTTTCGAAGTTCTAAATTGCTTGGAGTTAAGATATGGGATCAGATGTGAATAAGCACCGGAACTGTGAACTTTAGAAATGTTCATCTCGTAATTCTCTGGGAAAGTATAAAATAGAATGAAACAATTATTAATTATTTGTGTGGTTTAGCGCTTAAATGTATGGGTGACTTTCATCATCTGCAGTAGTACTGTTCATAGTAAAATCACTTTTTGTATTATTTGGTATGACGTTACATTCTTAATATCCAGATCCAGTAATTCTTCAATAGTTCAACGTCAACTGACGGATACTACCTGAATTATTAGATTTCTTAAAATGCTTTGGTAAGGATGAAAACTTACGAAGGCTTATAAAATCTCACTTTTACTTGAGTCCGCATACATTTAACTTTATTAAGACCAATTCAATTATTTAACAGACAGTGTCATTCAGTCAGTAAAAATCAGTCTATATCTTTGTATGCTTATCATCATTTTTATATGAGCACCTATGCTTGATCATGTATTAGAGCCTACATACATTTTTCTCTTACTAGCAGAATTGTTATTTACTTAAGTTATTCAACGTTTTATTTACTTGTCTACATGTGTGTGCTTCTGAAGTTCATTCATTCATTCATTCATTCACATCCACATTTCTGTTCTTATCCGATTCGTGTACTTGTGGCTTTATGATCTACTTTGTACAATAACAAATCGTAGTTAACGCTTCATATTTTTTTTCTGAAAATTATACACCGTTGAGAGTAACTTAATAAAGGTCATTAGAACGAGTGATGTACGAAGAATAGGTATCAGCACTAAAAAGTTCCACCACAGATTGATGAAACCAACAGCTCGACTGGAATTCGCAATCCGGAATCTACTAATGATATGTTCTGAAATATTACCCGAAAAATGCTTTAAATTCATGTGTCGAAGAACCTATGATTAAATTAGTCCCATTAATTAACGGTATGTTTGAAAGTATATTTGGATAAGTAGTCGTTTATGTTCCTCTGAAGTAAAATAAATTTTCAAATGTAAAACAAGCAGTAAAAACATAACTGAAATATTACGTTTTATAGAAAGTAGATGGACAAACATACCTATCAAGACATTTCTTTCGTGGGCTCGTTCAATCGGTTGATGGTTGGTGGAGATACTTACAAATTTTACTACAGATAACTTTTCATGAGCACTGGTATTGGTATCATTTTGTAATGATGAGCTTAAAGAGATGTTATCAGTCAAAATTTCAGTAACTTTGATATCTTGTTTGGATAACGCTGAGGATGATTTGTCTGTATTTGCTGAAACTTCCATTTCATTGGTGAATACCTCTGGCACTATGGTTGTTTGATTTAACTTTTGATCAGTGCCTTCAAGTTCCTCAGGTGTGTCCAGAATAGTTTCGTTTTTGTTTCCTAAGATTTCTTCCGTTACACCAACGTGCTCTTGCGACTGACTAGGTATTTCGACAATATCGTTTGATTCTAGCATATACTCAGTATAAAAACTTTCATCTGTTTCAATAGAGTGGTTGGAAGGTATGTGATCATCAGTATTTGGACTTAAAACATCTAGATTATTATCCGTTGTAACCAAAGATAAGGTTTCTTCAGTTATCGTATTCAGTAATGGTTGTGATTCACTACTTTCTGTAATAACGATTTCATTTTCATTTTCAAAGTTACTTGATTTGATGTGTAGAGCAGTAATTATTTCTTCATTATCGTTCGAGTCGTTTGTTGGAATGTCAACCCTGTAAAGAGAGGAGAAATATAGATGCTGGAAGAAGAATGTTTTATTTCTTGAAATATATTTAACTTATTAGTTGTGTTTAGCTTCAGATAATAAACATAGCTGATAAGTTGATTTACATCTAGGTTTCAAATGATTCAAAGCTCATCATTATGACCAATCTGTAAATTTATATGATTTCGTAAAGATGTGGATATTAGAAAAAAACCTCATCAGACAGTGAATTTGGTCTTATAGAGGTATCCAAAAATCTAAATTCATTCCCATTTCGTATTTTTGGCACTCATATTTTGTTAAGAGTACGATGTAGCCACTAACATACGTAATGCTTCATTAAGTTTCACCATATTCATCAATAATTGTTTGACAATGTTGAATTAAAATCAAGAATCAGATTATCAAAAACTAACATTTAACAACCATTTCGTCAGTACCATTAGTTTTGAGTTGTAAAATGGAAATAAATTTATCACACTTCGAACGTAAACTAGACTTATATTTCTATTTTATTCATGCTTACTTCATACAAGCTTCTAAAACTTATCATTGAATCTCTCATTTGTAGCGAAAAATTCCGGAATTAACTATTATAAAGTTTAAATTCCATTGAACTTATATTCCATTAGTATATCTGTGACGACGGACCGCGGGTGAACTCGAGGAAACTGTAGGAGACTCAGAAGGAGGCGAAGATATTCCTTTTGGAAGAATGTTCTAGAATTCCTACGTGTAGCTTCCCGATCGGATAATGCTAATAACCCTCTGTATGCTGATTGGTGGACTGTAATAATAATTTTATTCTTACTAAAAACTATAAATACCCGACAATTTCGTACCATAATTGACACTGCCTGGGAATAATATTCCTTTCATTAGTCTTCCGTCTTCTCATTGCAACTTGGAAGGGTCCTGACGTTCTGGTGCTCACGTTATATGCGGTATATCAAGAAAAACCTTCTAGATATAACAATATCTGTCATAACTAAACACAGAATATGAAGTTCACTTTCTTCAGCTAACCTCAAGTCTCTTTCATTAAAAGCAAAAGTAATGTTAATAGAAGCAGCTGCTTTTTATAAACCCGTATATCATCATCAGTATATCTAATAGGTATGTCAATCGTAGACTAGATCTACTTATGTCATAAAAAGTTCAGAAAATCTTCATGAATCAATCACCTAGTTTCTGATAGCTACCAAAAGTTATTTTCGTAGAAACATGTTTTCAATAAATTCTTTTCTCATTTCATACTGACTTCATTTACTGGTATAATTTCAAAATGGTGAATAGCCTAACATTCCAAATCTCTAAAATGGATTCTTGATATTATTTATTTATAAAATGATGACTCATCACCTTTTACCTCAGTAATACATATCATCCACATTTTGGACTCGACTGTTATACTAAACGTATCAACTACAACGATTTCTAACTAGAAATCTTGTTCACGTCATATATGCGCGATTAATAAACTACTCAGTTTATAGAAATATGATATAGTCCTTGAAATCACCTCTTGAAACCCATATAAAATGTATTAGGAGTACATTTAAACGTCTTAGATTAACCACCCAAGACTTTATTCAAGTAATAAATAATGAGTAATAAATAACCATTAAAGTATCTGATTTGTGTTGAAAACTTTAGGGTGCTAAAATATAAACGTGAATAATGAAAAAATAAATAATTTTAACTGTTTCCTTTCATCAGTAATTAACATAATCCAAGTTAACTTAGCATGTGAAAAAGAGCTAATCATTCATAATGTTCTTCACTAATTCTAGAAGATTGTATGTAGTGTAGTATTAAGTTGTGAAGTGTCATATAATCTCAAAGGTCATCTCATAAATACAACTTTAGTTTATGACATTAAATTTTTCTTAAATTATAATACATTCACTTGATTTCGCAGATTTATCTTTGGATATGAAAGAAATATGTTGGGTAAGTATAGCTTTACGTTTACATGGAATGATTGGTGGAAAGCGTTTCGCTTCTTTTCAATGTATTTACTGGTTAATACTATTTCAATAAATTATGATATATTCAATCAAATGATTCTATTATTTTCTATTCCGATTAAATGATTTCATAATTTATGCCACCGTTTTTTTGAGTTTGAAGTAGTGTCCAATATGTTGTTTTCCTAACCTTCAAGAGACAGTTTATAAGCTGGAATCAAAATCAAGTGAAATCAACTAATGTTTATATTTTCTTGTCGAATGGAAAATCAAACCAAACTTAATATCATTTTCCTAGCATAGTAGTCTCTCCAGTTAACAGTGGTTGAATTTTTCTTCTCATAAGAGCTTGGGTAGTTTTATCAGTGGTAAAGCTTCATAACTGATCATTATTGACTATAATGGGTTGCAAAAATGGTATAACAGTTTATTGTTAATATAACCTCTTTTAAATTATTTTCTTGGGGTTTTTGACGAAACACAAAAGTGAAACTATTATATTTTTACTAAACTGCCACACTTTTCTCTACTCATAGTTCTGGTTATTGCATTAGGATTTATGTTGTAGTATTTTTAATGGAGGCAATAATTTATTTTCCACAAAGATTCACATTGACATACACCTGTATTCATATAAATTATAATGAGCGTGAACACATTTCATTGTTGAGTCTCCAATTAAATTATTGTCTTTTTACTTGATCATCTTCTTAGCGATGAGCCAAAACTGATGAACAAAGGTAGACAACATGAGTTGTCTTAACAGTTTGAAAATACTCAAACAAAAGCAAAAGAAGTAGAATGAAATGATCATTTTGGAATAAACTACAAGCCATTAATAAGAATCATTAGAAAAACGGGAGAAACCCATTGCAAAATTAGGGAACAATTAGGATACACTTGGTATTGTTTGTTTGAATCTTCACATTCATGTTTAGGACTGTAATTGATCAGTCACATATTGGCATATGTGCATACTGTGCGTAAATAGGACGAAACGCGCATCCTAGCCACTATCCATATTTGCATATAATGCTTGTGAATTAAGGCTATATCGAAACAGTACGCACAGTATGTACATATGCTAATAAGTGACTGATCAATTGTAGTCTTAAACATCAATGTGAAGATTCAAACAAACAATACCAGGTGGATTTAAACTCCACCCCATTTCACAAGCAAGTGGCTATCAAGACTCAGCAGCCAAGTGGATAACGCGATGTCGTTTGAAGCGAACGGTACAGAGTTAGAGCCCCAGAGGGAACATCAACTCCGAGGTGCATGTACATCCAGCTGACAAGTCCCAAATAGGACGAAACGCGCATCCTGGATTCCACTGCTGGCCACTATCCATCTTTGCATATAACAATTAAGATAATTCAACGAAGAAAACTTTTCTTACGATGATGTCCTTTTTATTCAAGCTATACAGTTTTACCCGAGGTTATCAAGTTTAATGTGAAGGATAATTCGCCACTTGATGAATGTGTAAAAGTAAAGGAAAAAGTGGAGAAGAAACAAATGAGTGATGATAACGTCTAAGACAAAATGTGGTGATCACTAGGACTAATATAAGATGAGAAAATGAAGGTATCATTTTTGAATACTGATCAAGGTTGAAATGACTATTATTTATTTATTATTAGATTCGTGTATATTAAATAACTACAAATACGACCGAATGGTTATCGGTGAATTATATTGTTGAGAAGAATATCTTCACTACAACTTATTGATGCCACTTTCTGAAGTATTTAATTACAATAATCCATTAAATAACTTACTGATTTTGGTTTATTGGTTCTAATTGAGTTTCTTCGTCAGCTGAAATTTAAATAAAAAGTTTAAACATAGTTTGCTTTATATTGATGAAATATATTTCTCAATATCATTTAATATAATACTTGAGAGTAGGCTGTATCCTTTTAAATAGAAGAAATAAGTCTTAATTACCTTTTATGTTAACAAACCAGTTAAATGAACCGTTATTATTTGACGGTGTGAGAACTGAAGTTCAACAATTTAAGTATTTAATTTTCAAACACCAAGTGGTCAGTTTAAAACATTTGATAGTTTCTTATATTGATGGTATCCAGATATTTTCAAACAAATGCATAAATCTACACTCAGTCAAACGTTCACATTGATTTCATTTGCAACAAGCTACATGTAATTGAGAAAACTGATGAAATGCAGCTCAGATAATACTGTAAGAAAGGTTTATTCTGAATTTAGATCGTTAGCATTACATTGATCAACTGAAGTCCCAAATACCGGTAACAGAAAAATAAAATTTTCTTCTAATAACTTAAAACTTGTTAAACAGGTCAAAGTTCGTCTGGATTCAATGGCTTAGTGGATAATCCGTTGATGTTTAAAGCAACAGATGACATGTTCGGATCTCACTGTGAACATTAACAGCTGGAAGCCAATTTGCCTATCTGACGAGTCCCAAATAGGACGAAACACGTGTTATAAATTCCATTGCTAGTCATAGTTTAACTAAAAGTATGTAATCAGAGGGTAATATATGTAGATTTGCCAAGGACTTAGTCCTGAGTAACAACAGCAGAGAAGTACAAACTATTGCTAGCTACCTTGAGAAGTGAGGACCAAGAGAATAGTCGGGTTTTTCACACATTATCTATTACGGGGACCAAAAGCTTTTTCTGCGGTCCTTCCTCTAGGTTATTCGTGAAATGCTGGTTAAAGAACCAAATGGTACCTGAAAAAATATAGTAAGCTATGAGAGCTCTAATCTTCCGAGATTAACTGTTTGCGTACGTTTTCTTAAAAGATAGATTACACAACGCAGTAATCAAGATATATCTATTATGTTTAATGTATAAATTGCTTACTTCTTTGATCATACACTCTCAAGTACCTGACTTACTAGGAAGATGCTGCTCTGTTGTTCGAATCTGGAATCATATTTTTACTAAATTCCAATTGCTTAGATATTATCACACATAGTGCAGGTAGAAAATAGTAAGGCTTCTCTAAATCTAACCCGTTTACGACTTACTGAACAATGAGGGGATACAATGTACTATCTTTATGGTTTCAAATCAGAAGTCAGGTTAGAACAACTTGTTCTATCTGACAGTTTCTCATTGATTTCATCAGTAATGATACTTTAAAAACAACCCTAAACAAAATATATACTTATAGTTTCGAACTTATTTCATATCGATCTTGGTCTTCTTTTGTGGTGTTCCAATTGCAATCTGGCTGTGAAATATGTCGCTGCTAGCAGCCATACCTTATGGCCATTAAAATTACTCATTACAAGCTGAAGATGTCTGAGAGCTTTCTGCGTTTGATCATAGTTGGGCTCAAAGGACTACTTACAAGCAGTAATCTAACCGCATAATATATACATTTTTAAGGTTTATCAACATGCATTTGAACATGATGAAGTTGGGAATTTTAATAGTTCTACTATTTTGAAAGATAGGCTTAAATATCATGATCATATTCTATATATGCAAACCTTTTGGTTACCATACCTTTAAAAGAAGTACGGGTAGTTAGTTCATGCTAAAGGTTAGTGAAAGGAGAGATAATCAGAATGGGATGGAATCCCAAGGCCCATGACGACTCCTATTTTACAATCTTTAAAGCCCCGAAACTCTGTGTATTGATATATTATCAAGAATTACTCGGAACAGCATTCACCAATAATTCCACTGTAGCTTTCTGCTGTATTCTTTACATCAATAAGGCGAATAATAGAAATGAATGAAATCTATCATGACTGTGTTATTATTTGAGTTGTATCTCTTAGTGTACATTACTTTATTTATCAATTCGCTAAATGTATGGTTTCTGTCCTCTTTTCCATCATAACGATTTAATTTGATTGTTTTATGGTTCATTTCTTGGTATCCTATTGTACATAGTGATTTACATGTTATTCCTAATTAAATTGGATAAAACAATAAACTCTCACCCGAAGAATTGTATAATTCTATTGAATTAAAATCTATTTTTTCTGTAACTTTATCTTGTTCATCTACTTCATCTTCTTTTCCTTCGTATTCTAAAATATTTGTAACTTCACTAAATTCAGACGTTTCCACATCATTACTATCATCATTTTTGACGGAAGCAGTCTAAAAATGGAATAAAAATTATAAATTACATTTTTTTTATAAAATAACAAAATCTAAATAGGTGTCAATGCCATGGTTGAACTTGATACTTTCACATAAATTGAGTAATGAGTACAAAGATAATAGTAAACATATTTTTTTGTTATATCCGAATGAGTAGAAAACTTGTATTTCCGGGGTTTCGTGACTTAATGTAGGCCACTTCTTCAGGGTAAATAAATAACTTAATTAAATTAACACAAGTATGTTCCCTTCGTATTATTTATATTTATGTTAATTTAATCTGTTTGTTTTGTTTATTCTGAAGAAGTGGCTCGCATCAAGTCACGAAACGTCGGCAATACAATTTCTCTATTCATTGGGATATAAAATATTATATTTATTATTAACAGAATCCAATAACTGAGGAAACATAAAAACCTAATTCTACTCAGATCCTTATAAATTATTATGGAGGATATTATCAATGCACAGAGAGAGTACATTTATATACAAAGCCATAAAGATGTACGTTACAAAAGTACTTTTTACAATTAATCCAAACTTGAAATCATCATATAAATATTACTTGATTATTTTTAGAGAGAAATCTGATATTTTTTGTTGTATATTCTATTTCATAAATGTGTAAATGCTTCATTAAAGTTTTCAAAATACCTTTATATATGAGTGAAACAACTCTATTTTTTTTAATTAAGCAACACTGTAGAATGATGAGTTCATTACATAACATATTAAGTGTTCTCAGAAATACACCACCATCAATCATTAAATGGAAGTTAGTAACAAACTAAATTTTGATGTTTCTTTTAGAATTATGATACTGGATTTTCATTAACTAATGAATTACTGAATAGTTTTGTTCATATAATATGAAATTGGTTTTATTACACCCGTAGATGTACATTGAAATGAGTCCATTAGTTATTTATTTGTCATCTAAGAGTTTTTCTTCGGTATTCCAAACAAAATAGAAAAAACGTTTGCTGTATAAAATGATATTCAGCTAATGATATTAGAAATTAGTTTTTTCGAACTACATTGTAAAAAGTGACTTCAGATGATTGCTCGCATAACATAAGGATATATATACTAATTATCACAATATATCTACGCTTTCACTTAAAATTTACCATCTGATTTTAAGATTTTATGGTTGAAATACTATAAACAGACAGCTGTATGTCTTATCATTATGATTCTTTAAAGAAATTTCAGCCACTTAATTTTCTATAAGGTCTTGTATCTTTTTGAGTTCTTTAACATATCTCCATAAAATAAAATAATCAAAGTTAAAAATCTTCTAAATAACATAACCAACTTTGCGGTTCGATATTCTTCCTCCACAAAGAACACTTATACTTCTTTTAAGTATAAAATTTAAACCTTTCAGTATTACTCATGGCAATATGTCCATTACATTACACAGCATAAACTTACTAGTTGGTATTATTGACATTTATCAAAATAGCAAGTTTGAGAATTGTGAAAATTTCATTGATCCATAAAACATTATACAAAAGATGTTACTAAGATAGTAGATACTTATAACATACTTTACTGACAATGTAATAGGTATTAAATAACAGAACGGTGATTAGTTATTGTTTCAGATTCAGTAAATATTCTTTTTATGGTTGAATTCATGAGTCGATTAAAGCTAGATCACTATGAAAGACCTGAAAGCACTGGATGGCCGTTTCGTCCTAGTATAGGACTCTTCAGGAGTGTGAAGCCAATTTCCCGCCTGTCGAGATTCGAACCCGGGACCTATCAGTTTCGCGCGCGATCGCTTAACACCTAGACAACTAAGTCGGCATCCAATGGTGCTGATGTCTAACTTCAACCAACCCACGAAATCGAGCCACCGTCCATCATTATCTTCAGTGAGTAGCTACTTCACAACAGAACTGGTTGAACTCAACTGGTCACCGCTTCTCACTAGCACTCCTTTGTTCAGATATAGGCTTATTTATCTGAAATAACTTTTTTCAATGAATTAATAAGTCTATATTGTCTGAACTTAATTTATGTCAATAGATAGGGAGACGAATTAATGAAATAAAAAACATTAAACTCAAGTCAGACTAAATACTTAACCTTTGGTTGTCGATTTTATTTAACTACTACAATCCTGACCAGATCAATATTGGAAAAACAGTCTGTTTTAAGCCAATCTATGGATTACAAAGTCTATATCAGTTAGCAACTACTTATACTGAATTGTTGTTATACGATATTCAATTAAAATGTTTCCTTTCTGACTTCTTGCAGCTTGCCATGTTGTAGCATTTATTTGTTACAATTATATATCCAACATATGATTATAATCTATTTTTCATTTACAGAATTGTAGAGCCCTAGACAGTATCAATGTATGTCATCATTTAGAATCATTCTATTTCTCTCTCATAATACATCACTCCTTAAATATAAAAATATGTAGGCACCTGTAGATGACTTCGCAGTATCATGAATTGACTAAAGTTATAAATGTTAATCATTAGATGCTAGATTGAAAATAAACACTTGTTGCAAGACCTGAATGTCTCGTGTTCAACATCCTGGTAGAGTAATAATTGCGCATTGTTGAGAAGTCCCATATTAGCATGAAAAACATCTGCATAGTGCTCTTTGATTTTCAACGGTTATTTAAGATCATTATGTAATACAAACTATAAAATATACTCTATTAGTTATTAGTTTATAATGTAATTTGTAATAAATTTTCACAGGATTTCACCACTATCCACCCACCCCCCTCAAAGAAGAAAGGGATCATGTTATGTAATTTAATCATACTAGGATCATTAAATCAAAGATATAACTATTCATAATAAATAATAATAAATTCTAACTTACTTTAACATACCAACAGCTGAGAATTAGTATAAGTATACTTATTATTACAATCAATTTTTTATTCATTATTCCAAGTGAATCATTTATTATTATTATATTTTTTTAGCAAAGGTATCTACATTCATTCCTATGAGTTAAGTCCATTCGATTGAAAGCATATCAACCAAAACAGTATTAAAAATTTATTAACCGGCGTTTTATGTGATGTGAAATTTTAATTTAATCAATTAAAAATGACCAATTTGTTTATATTAATTATTATTATTATTATTATGAGATTACATGAAAATATTGAATATGTCAATTGTCGCCTTATTTACACATTTTCATTTATATGTTATTTAGGAATATTATAGTAAATGAATTTATATATATATATGTAATCCCAGTAAAACAATATTCATTTGGAAGATGGTACATTAATTAATGCTGTAATATGTTTATACCTATTATTATAATTAATGACTTAGAAAAGTTAACAACTTATACTACTAATTAATTTATATAGTACTTTTGTTTATTATAATTCATTACTAATTTGTCATGTAAATATACATTCCTGACTTTTGATCTGATTGGGTTGATATCTTTTGATTATAAAGATGCTACAGATAAAACCGTTGTCAAATCCTGAATATCCATGCTATATCTAACCAAATTAAATTGAATTTATTCCTGTTAATGAAATTGATCTCAATTATAACCAAATTATGATACCATAATGACTTGTACAGAATTTCTTCTACAGTCTAGCTGAGAATAATGATATTTTTAACTTTAAAGATTTGCTCGATGATAGTAAACATAATTAACTATCGATTGATTAAATATTGGAATAAGGTACGAGGTTGTTTAACTCATCAAGACGACTTGTATAGAAAAAACAATCGGATCATAAGGGATTCTATTCCTCTCAGCATAAGTCAATCTAGGATAAAAATGGTGAGCAGTAATGCTACATCGAACTCATAATTACAACATGATTACAGGATCACACTGTATAGTATCTTAAAAGACTCGAAAATTATCTTTTGTGATATCAGAGATAGCCCTTCCTATTGGCATTTTGGCTCCAATAAAAGTACTCTGTCTTGCGATCCAGAAATTTAAAGAGCTTAGTGAGAGACGTCTTGTTGCATACTCACTTGCTTACTTACCCACTTACTTACACCTGTTACTCCCAGCATTCTCCAACCCACTCTGTCCTGGGCCTTCCTTTCTACTTCTATCCAACTGTTGTTCATTCTTCTCATATCTGTCCCCATTTCTCGACGTAATGTGTTCTTTGGTCTTCCTCTCCCCCAATGGCCATGTGGATTGCGAATGAGGGCTTGTCTTGTGACTCAGTTGGGTGCTTTCCTCAATGTGTATCCTATCCACTTCCAGTGCTTCTTCCTGCAATGAAACTTGACTTGTTCTCTCCCACAGTAGGTTGTTGCTAATAGTGTCTTGCCAACGGATCCGAAGTATTTTGCGTACACAACTGTTAATTAACACCTGTATTTTCTGGATGATGGCTTTCGTATTACTCCAGGTTTCCGCCCCATACAGTAGAACTGTCTCGACATTTGTATTGAAAATTCTGACCTTGGTGTTGGTTGACAGTTGTTTTGAGTTCCGGATGTTCATCACTTGTAGATATGCTGCTCTTGCTTTGCCGATCCGCGCCTTCACATCTGCATCAGATCAACCGTGTTCATCAATGATGCTTCCCAGATATGTAAAAGTTTTTACATCTTCCAAAGCTTCTCCGTCAAGTGTGATTGGATTGGTGCATTCTGTGTTGTATCGGAGAATCCTGCTTTTCCCTTTGTGTATATTGAGACCTACTGCTGTTGAGGCTGCTGCTACATTTGTCGTCCTTTTCTGCATTTGTTTTTGCGTGTGCGATAGAAAAGCCATATCATCTGTGAAGTTTAGATCGTAAAACTGCATCCTAGTTGTCTAGTGTATCCCGTGCTTCTCCCCAGATGTTGACATCTTCATAATCCATACGATCCGTAGTGTTGCGATTTGGTCTGTACAGGATCTATCCTTATGGAATCCAGCCTGTTGGTCTCGAAGATGGGTGTCTACGGATTTCCTCATTATGTTTGACAATCCCCTGTTGACGACTTTTCCTGGTATTGAAAGGAGAGTGATGCCTCTTTAGTTCTCACACTTGCTGATATAGCGTTCCTTCGGTAGCTTGATCATGTATCCTTCTTTCCAATCTACTAGTACTTGTTCTTCATCCCATATCTTGCTAAAGAGAATGTGGATTATTTTTGCAGTTACTGCTGCGTCTGCTTTCAGTGCCTCTGCTGGAATGTCAGTTAATCCCGCTTCTTTGCAGATCTTGATTTGTCTGATAGTCATGCTGATCTCTTCAATTGTTGGCAATCCAATATCGATTGGGAGGTCTGTGGGTGCTGCATCGACGTTGGGGAGTTTAGTGGGGCTGTCCGACTCAAAAGTTCCTCGAAGTGCTCTGCTCACCTGTTTCGCTGTTATGCAATGTCGGTGACTAAATTGCCTTTCTTGCTTTTCACTGGTCGTTCTGATTTACGATAATTTCCAGAGAGTTTCTTTGTCGTGTCATACAGTTGTCTCATGTTTCCTTCTCTTTCAGCCTTTCTGCCGTCGTTGTTTAATTTTCAACATATTTACGTTTGTCAGTTCTGACGCTCCACTTCACTTGCTTGTTTACTTCTGTGTATTCGGTTTGGGCCTTGGTTTTTCCGTTCATGTGCGGCTGGTATTGATTACTGCCCTCTTGTTCCTCCTTTCTTGAATCTTATCCAGTATATCAACAGTGATTCACTCCTTGTGATGGTGCTTCTTCTGGCCCAGGACCTCATGACATGTTGAAGTGATTGCCTCTTTGATCCCCTTCCAGTTGCTCTCCACAGTAGTTTCTTCTCCATTGAGTAGATCATGAAAGGCCTGGAACTTATTGCTGAGGGCTATCTTGAACTTGTTGAGTTTGTCGGGATCCCGAAGAAAAGCCGTATTGAACTTTTGTGATGTGGTCCGCCTCGTTGTCCAGTGCTTCTTGAGTTTCAATTTCATCTTGGCGACCAGCAAGTGATGATCTGATGTTATATCAGCCCCTCTCTTGGTTCTCACGTCCTCTAAAGCCCTCCTGAACGTTTTGTTGATGCAGATATAGTCGATTTGGTTTTGTGTAGAGTGATCCGGTGGAGTCCATGTGGCTTTATGTTTGCGTTTATGTGGGAATATAGTTCCGCCTATGACCAGTTTACTGAAGACATGAATTCGCGAATCTCTCATCATTTTCGTTCCTTTCTCCTAGTCCGTGTCGCCCAACTATTTCTTCATACCTGTTGGTGTCCATCCCAACCTGGCATTTAGGTCCCCTGTCGGAATGCTCAAGCCCTTTGTTAGGCATTTCTCGACAATTGCCTGCAGCCTATCGTAGAATTGACCCTTAACGTCTTCGTTGTAGTCGTTGGTAGGCGCATAGCATTGGATGACTTTCGTTGTAATGCCGTCTTTCTTTGTTTTGAAGGAGGCTCTGATGATCCTGGTTCCATGATACTCCCAACCTATAAGTGCATTTTCTGCTTGGTTGAAAAGCATCAGTGCAACTCTTCGTGTATGTGGAGCATTTTCTTCTTCGTTGCCGGAGTATAACAGCAACTCCACTGAAGCTAGTCTTTGTTGTCCAACCTGCTTCCAATGTGTTTCACTGAATCCAAGTATCTCCGGGTCATGTATTTTCATTTCTTCAGCAGTTCGTATGACTCTCCCGGTCTCCTACATTGTACGAGCATCTTATTTATCTAAATCGATAGTTGCCCTGGTTGTCAGAAGGGTCATCGGCCTCGTGACTTCTGAAGGAACTCGGCTTTCATCATGAGGCGTCAAAACTCCTCTAAATAAAGGCTTTGTGGTCTGAATTGCTTTTTCTGATTAGTGTGTAGTGAAGAGAACGCGATTGGTATGATGGAAAAAATTATTATTATAACCAACTGTACCAGTGTTTGTTCTACTGTACCTGTTTGTTTAAGTGTACCAAAAAACTCTCTTCCATTTTTCGAGAGCTTGCACGAACTCTCGTACGCTCAGTAGTCTCTCTTTTAGATTTTGGCCCGATTTCGGTATCATTTCGATACCACGAGATCGCCAACAAATACATCATAACTACAACCCTCAACTGCTTTCTGATATTCAACCTACGAGGAATCTAACCTGGTAACTGGCACATAGTCTATCAGGCAGTGGTGATGATAGTCAACCGTGACCCAACGCCTACTACAAGCACTTTTAAATGAACTGGTTTTCTATGAGATGGGGGTCACTAACCCACGTTCAGCCCACCTACTTCATCCGTACTCGGGACCGGCAGTAGCCAGTGTTTCAGGCGGAGCTAGAGAGGTATTGTCGATTAATGCTGATGTGTATGGAAACGTTTTTGTGTACACATTCCCCGTATTTCTTTGTTTTTTTTATAGATAACCTTGTATTTCACTCTGAATTCACCTACAATGCGTTCATCACCGAGTTTGTTGTCACTTATTGGTTTTATATTATCTAAGGTTGTGAATTTTGACCAAACTCTTAATGTTACTGAGATTTCAACAATTGTTTCTTTTTTGTTTCGTTTAATTTTATATTCTGACTGCTGAATTCTTGATCAATTGTATCCTTGATTGTCTCGGTTCTTTTATCACTGATTTGGCCTATTCATAAAATATATAAGGTTCTTAAATTTCGGTGCAATAGGATATTTATGTTATTCCGTGCCGAAATAAACTACATCTGGGAGGAAATCAAAGTGAGGTAAATCACGAAAGGATTCGCACAAAAACTAATACAAATTAGGTGTAAAAATATCGAAAATATCAAAAAACGGGTAAAACCGTTTTGCAGGTATAATCTACACCGTATCGTTGTAAACATATGTGGATTTGAAAATCTTTCTCACGGACTGATCGCTAACACCTGCATAAGCATGACTTTGTTTTGTAGTGGCCCAGCTTCGTTAATCAATCGCCTTCGTAACTGCTATTATATAAATTCAAACGGTGTTTGAAATCAAAAGGCAATGACAAGCAGCAACTACAGTTTGTTTGCGGATAGCTCAGACCACAGATCTACAAGCGCATCAGGCGGATTTGAAGCGGAGTGGCGATTAAGTATATGTGAGCAAATACAGAGGCAAATTTGTAGTCAAATCGAATAAAGGCAGAGCAAGGCAAGGGATATTATTAGGATTCAAGTACGTCTACAGATGAGGAAGAGAATTATTTATTGAGCGATATTTAAGCTATCAACATTTAAGTTAGAGAAATATGTGCGTAGGCTGCCCTACGATCAAGCGTAAAAGTTTATACAGACAAAATAGTAATCACAATAGCAGAGAGGAAAAAAGATACTACTGCCTTAATAACGTAGTCTGTTCGATAAGTCAACAAAAGAACCTAATAAAAATTAACCACAATTGACATTGATCGTCGGAGAGTTGCCATAACTCTATTGGCACCTAAATTTCTTCTTAATAGACTAGTAAAAACTGAAAAAATCCAGGAAGATATTGAAAGACCTAGTTATTTGTTAGTATGCACTTACTATTAGTAATACGATATCTTATGTGCTCCTCAGAATAGAAAGCTATCAACAGGGTATTCAGCAAAGACAAGCTACTTGGTTTTGAACTCCTTGTTTATCAGTTCATAAGGTCCATATGATTTTATAGGGGGGAAAAGTGAGCTGAGACAGTAGGTAATGTACAAAACTACATAATGTAAGTGTCCGAAACTAAAGCGTGTATTTCAGTAATATTAGAAACATCACTGATGGCACCACGCCACATTTCTTCACTGGATCTCGTTTCAATACACCAAGGGACTCATCTCTGATAACTATCCAGTCTAAATGTTATACTGGACGATGCATCTAACATTAGTTCAAATATATATTTCTACTCAAATATCCTCAGCTTACTTAATAATTGGTTTTGAAATCACTTCGTTAAAAGACACTTGGGTGATGATATCATTAAATCCTCTGTAAGCAAGACCACTTCAGTGTGATTTTTTCTGGTTAGAAACTGTAAGTTTCAGAATTTCCACCCGAAAGGATTAGTGGTGTCATGTAGTGTTGAATTTCACAAACCAAAGCTCAACGTTTACTTTTATTTCGTTAGTACTGAGGGAAGCAGAACGTGAGTATTATCATACTTTATCCTTTTGTTCGTTAAGACATAAAGCTAAGACCTTGCTTAGCCGTAATTAAACTATCTCGCTTACCACACAGACACAGTGTCAAGAAAACAGTCCCCATTTTCTGTCTGAAACGTTTTGTGTTTGTCTATTATTACCGCTAAATTTGTCTGGTACGTTACGTAGCATGCTTAAGGCCAGCATCACCCTATTCTTGTCTCAAATATTAGATGATAAGCATTATATTCCACCTTTCCGTTCTTAAATAATAGTAACTTGACTCTAGCTAAGGGCCTTACAATTAAAAAAAAGTTGGTTACTCACTTAAATAAAATTGCAGGTCAGTTGTATATATGGATCTTGTGGATGTGATTCCAACTGTATAAAATGTTTGTTTGAAACTTGTTGATTTTAATTTTTGGTCCTCAAGAGCACAAATCAATATTGTCTCTACAAGTTACTGACATACAGAATTATAATTGCTATTAAGGTCAGTTCTGGCCTAAATATATTAACAGCAAACCCATATGTATATATTGTCTGGCCAGAATAAGGTATTTTGTCAACTTTAATCCAACAAAATTTATGTACTTGAAACCAAGTATTAATTGCCAAATATTTAAGAAAGTAGTTTTCTCCGTCTTTGAACTTGACCTGGTGTAAGTAATTTTGTTGAACACTTCACTAAGGTCAGTTAGCTCCTTATGTACGGATATACCATTTTAATATCGATTTTGCACGACAAGTAAATTTAATGAAAACAACTCATGGAAAATCGACTGCCCGAATATCTATTGGCGTTCTGAGTAAAACTATTTTAGAAACCGACCACTAGATGAACTTCTAACGAAACCTATAAATTTTGATACCGGTAAACTTGAAGAAAAAACTTCCTGAAATGTAGTCATTCACTAAATGCTCTTGGTGATCCATCAAGGCGCGTATTTATAATTTATTGTCCATTTCTTTCACCATTCAAAGATATATTTGGTGGTTCTATGAGTTTCTGTCCATACTGATCTCTTTTAACTTATTACGTTTCGTGTTATTAGAGACACATAGGCTTCTAATTGTTGTAATTTACCAGTGCATATGCACTGTGAGAAGTATTAAAAATAGTGTGACACTTGAGAGAAATAAGGTAGAAATAAAAAACCAGCCACTTACGTAAACTGTATTCTCAAGGCTCACTATATTTGGGAGAGGGTGCTTTGTTTATTTCAGATATGCTGATTCCCGTAATAATCTTTCTTTTGTGCGGACTGTGATAAATGTCACTAATTCAAAAAGCTTATCTCATATTGCTAGGGTTATTCACATTTGTTATGTAGATTCAAGGACTAATGTATAACTAAAATTACTGCAACCTAGTTTGACGGTTTAAAATTTTGCCCCTGCTAGTAAGCCAAACGTTCATTACTGCTAACTTGAAGCTCAACAGAGTAGCAAGTTTTGGGTTACTAAATATGGAAGTTTTAGACCAGTGATGTAATATTTCAAGTTAGATTAACTGAGTCAGGGTTTTATTTATTTATTAACACATAGATATTGGTACAAGGAGGCACCAAATACATATGCGCCACACAAATCTCATTCAATATTTGTGAGGGCTGTGGTACTGCCCGGGTGCCCAAACCGAAGCAGGTGGTCTTCCTAGGGGGCCACGCCCCGAGCCTTCGACCTGAAGGTCTGATCCACAAGACAGTGGAGCATCGTAAGGAGATGGAGTCCCATGGAAGCCGGTGACCAACGGTTGGTTCATACGCCATTTTTTCCCTCAGGATACTGGAGCCCATGTGCACCATTGGTTTGGAACCCGGTTAAAGCGCCGGACATTTGCTTTTCGTCCTCTCATTTTCGTAAACAACACCCCCACCACGAGAAGGCAGTTAGTAGGACTTCCTTGGCAGAGGCTAAATACGCGTGGCCATGTGAGGGCGTTTCGAGAGGGAGAGCGGACTCTCCCCACTCTCGGCCGTACCAGGGCATTTGGGGACGAGTCAGGGTTTAAGAAATAATGTAAACTGTGGCGAGAAAAAAACAGTTAAAGTGAAACGAATGTGACCAGATAATTAAAAATACTATTAAAAAAATGTTATTTCACGGCTCCAATCATTTCTCACTGTCACATACTCCTATATTCGTTGTTCTTGCTTATGAATGTTTTCCATGATGCTTCACAAAGCATAAAATATCCTTAATTCTTTCCTGAAAAGTAACTGTACTGGATTTAATTTTATTGTTGTATCAATTCTTGTTGATTGTCACGTCATCTCAGTTTTGTAGTATGTGCTGAGTTTACTCTACATTTTCTCTTCAGATATTCGTCTTAAACAAGTACATTCCGACCATTTCAATACCTAATTATCCTTCGCAGTCAGCTTGATAGTACCCAAATTATTTAGGAAACAAGCTAAAACTTCGTTTCAAGTTGTGTCGTACATTTTTGGACTACCTGGCAAAAAGGATCTGTTTATAATGACCAAAAGTATTCGAAGTAAATCAAAAAGACGGTTTCGTGCGATTAGACGTAGGCGTAGCTTTAAGAAAATCAAGGATCAGTTAATAAAATCTACCAAGGAAAGTGAAGGAAATCCAGTCTCTTCCGAACAGTTGGTTGACTCAACTTCAAATCACATGGATAGTAAGATTACAATATGCTTTATTTGAACGTTCTAGTTGTTCCCAAAAGCTTGCCAAGAATACTGTGTAATGAACATGGAACCTACCCAGTGTGGCTAAGTAAAAAAGAACGCAAAAGACAAATAAAAATGAAAAGACAACAGAAAAAACGGTGTCGTCCTAAAAAAGTGTAAACTACATTACGAATGTGATAGCGTTTTCGTAATCTTATTAGTCTTCTGAAATCACAACTGTATGTAACCAGGTTTGCAACTAGGAGTAAGGTTTCGCGTGTCATTTACCGCTCTTTCAGGCCAATACACCATTAATAAAGTGAGCTTAAAGAAGTATATTATTGTGGGGCAGAAACGGTTGATTAAATATATAGTCATCAAAAGGAAAGAGATACAAATCTCAAGACAACCAGAATAAATCATTATTTCTGAAGTAAGTGGCAACTCACTGCTATCTTCAAGGTGACAATTTTTCCCTTTCAACCTGAAAAAATTACCCCTAATCTATTGCATACCAATATGTAGATAGGTTTTTCTATAAAACACTTGCACTCAAAATTATCTAATTCACTCAGCATTTTCCACGCCAAAATGACGACAACGAGGAAGCAAATATAGTGACTACACTTAGTAAACATGCGGGAATTGATTGAAAGTCACAATTTTGTACATAAGCCAGTTTAAGATGAATTTCTGACACTAAAATCAGGTTATTAAACCGTAAAAACTAGCTTTTCCCTAACTATAAAAACCAAATTATGAATGAAATGCTCCATTTAAAGCAATTCATCAAATCGCATACATATCACTTTAACTAGGAAGACAGTTAACTAGCACGCAATATGACCCGTGACAACTAAATCTTAACTAAAAACATTTATAGCACATAAATTCTGACAATATGGCACCAACAATGCTTCATTACCAATAAATTGATATTGTGGAGGTATTAGTAAGATTCAAGACCCATAAGGTACACTTTTAATAATCGTAGAAACTTTTTTTGGAAAGATGTCGACTAATTTATTAACTGACATAATGTTATTGTTCACAAATAGTTGCCATCATACTAATAACTTGCACTGTATTATGACTTATTAAACGTGATAAACAAAACTAATAAATACTAAATCAGTCACAATAGAACCTGGTATGTATGTACATTGACCCAAGTTCCCATATCCCGTTAGCACAGAGAGATGAAATTGTCAGGTCAGATCCCATAATACTAGGGGTAGCAATAGTATCGGTGGTAATAGGGAAGATTAAGCATCGAAGATATGATTCGAGAGAATATAAATTAATGGAATAAAAACAAAATTTATGAGCAATTCAAAAGCTTAGAATTTGGAGAAAGACAAAGAGCATGTTCGTGTGCAGCATTGCAAACGATTTTGAGCCATGTTATTCGAGGTAGCCTACACTTCTTATCATTGCTCAGTCCAACTATCGTTGACTTCGTTAACCAAAGCCGTGTCCTGCCGCTCTTGGCTTCATTTCAGCCTACTCCACCAAACAACATCGCCCGTCGAGATAGGCAGTTATTGGAGATACGTCAAGATCACCTTCAATCGATTTGCCGTCCTTACCTAGTACCCTATCCCTAATCTACACATTGCTCGTTCCGTGGTTCCAAAATACATGAGCACTTCGTCGACGACACCTATGAGCGAATGCCAGTAACCCACGTATATCTTCTATCCTTAGTGGACACATCCATAAAATAGAACAAGGCAGACTGATCGTGAGACGGATATCTCGCCCATGCCACCGGTGACCCACGTTGACAAAAGCTAGTCGGCATTTCTTCAAATGTCAGAACTGAAGCGGTAAGTGGGTTCGACCACTTCACTCTCTACTATTAATTTGGGCGTTGACGCAAGTTCATCCTGAAGTAGCATTTGGATAGGTAGATCGCATCTTAAACATGTTTTCATTGCTGCTTAAGGTGGTCGGAAGATTACATTTCGTCAGCGTCTTCACCGGACAGAACTATATCACTTGCGTCAACAAGTGAATCTTCTGATGGAAGATCAACTAAAGAAATGTCAGACGATGAAAGTGTTATGTCTAAAAGCATGTCTATTACAAGAGTAAAATTGGGGAAGTGGATAAGCCATGACGAACACTGCTGTTCCCACAGCCTTTCAGATATCACTCACGGTTAAATAACTTTCCTAGCTATTTCTGAAATGTGTTCTGAACTTTTTCGATAAATACAAAATGCCTGTGGTATCATAAATTATACAACTCCTCAGTATTCCTTATGAGCAGTAAGTTTGAGATAACTGCTATGATGTAGATTCACACAGGTACTTCATAATGAGTATACTTTTATTCAGCGCGAATATGATACCTAAGTTACTTCAACACTTTGATTAACAAAGGGGACGGGGTCCTTCGAGAAACAACCCAACTAATCTACTGTGGCGGCAACGTCAACCAATTTGTTCAGCCCTCTCTGGCCAGTTACAGCCAATCCGGCTTACGAGACGGGGGGTTCACAGAAACCTTTACTTGTGAAACCCAATGAGTCAACTGAACAAGACAATTTACCTCCGACTCTTCCTAAGGATGATAGCAAACTTAGGAAGCTATTAACTTGAAATGAAGCGACAGTCCTTATTTATAGACAGGGTCTACGTTATCTAGGCAACAATTTTAGGCGGTATAAATCTACTTCCGACCGTGTCCAAACTATTAACTTCTATCATATTCTGCAGATAGTTCAAAACCGGAGGGAGATTGGTTCGCGTGGAGAACGCGCGTTCTAGCCATAGAAGTATTGATTATGTGTTCACCTTCCATCAAATAGTAGAGCACCATACATGAGGACCAAAGATCGTTGTTTCTTGATATGAAGACATAACTGCTATTTTGTCGAAGGATGTGTTGGAAAAGTTTATGAACAATTCGTAGTTTCTATATATCAACACCACAGGCAGAGCGAGGACATACAACCATCTCTCCGTTTAAGCAGTGGGGTTAGGCAGGGTTATCCAGTCAACTTTCTCATCGACCGCATACTGGAAACACCTGATGGAAGTGGGTAGGTGTGGTGTAGATTTGTTACTTGAAGAAAGACTTTTCTATATTTAGTATGCAGATAATATTGTCTTGACATGCAATCATACCAAAGTTATACAAATTGCATTTAATGGGTCGACAATCAGTGTCCTCAGGTATTGTATGAACCTTGTACCTCCTAAGTAAAAGGTACTTCTACAAGACTGGCATGAGCCTGTCTGCACTCACCCTTGGTGGTAAGTAATTGGAAGTTCCGGTATCTAGGTAGATTTGTGTTGGTAGTTGTTTGACTAAAGAGATTAGGACTTATGCCAATCTTGGACATTTTTGAAGTCATCGTGATTTTAGTTCGGCTACAAAACGTCAGGCCTAGAACGCGTCGGTGAGAACAGTTTCGTCCTATGTTTAGAAAGTTTAACCTCTCCGAGTTAGGGAGCTGGATGACTCTGTGTCTGATTATCGTCATCTCCGAGGAATTGTTAACATTCAGTTGCAACACATTAGTGATGCGATGAAAACTCACTTGATGTCACCAACCCCTAAAAACCAGATTCGGTTACTTGAAAGTGTTACGAATGTCACCCCAGCGCACGTTGATTGATGACACTAGGAGTGGTTGAAAAAAGCGGTAGTCAGTTTATGGCTTGGCACCGTAATGTGAAAGTCAGTATAGGATTGACATCTCTTAGTCGATTGCGACTCCTTGGTTGGAGTTACAGCGACGAACGGCGATCCTGCTGCGAAAGAATTTAACTACAGGAATTCCGAATTTCCATGTGTGTGCTATTGACTGAACTATATATTTTACCACATACCGTTCTTATTATTTATTTTGTTAACTATACTTTTCTTTTAAATGTACTTCCTTTTCCTTACGATCTTACCCACATTTTGTGTGGTCACTCTATCTCTGGTAGTTATACTATATTTTGTGCGCTTAAATAAATAAATAATGTAAAATGCGTAAGTCCTGATTTGGACTCAATAAATAAACCAATGTTTACAAAAGTAGATTTATCCTACTTAATCATACTTGAATGATTTAAAAAGATCAATTATCCCCACCACAGGTTATTACTTCGTAAAATTAAAGGATTCCAAATAAAATTCAGTCCTTAAATTTATAACTGTACGGACATTGAGGCCTTTAGGGAAAGCATAATAAAAGTAATCAATACAAAATTACATGTAATCTTACAAAACAATCGTGTTTGCCAAACTGATGGTATTTCATTAAGTCCTAAAAGATTCATAAGCACTAACAACGATAAAATGATGCATAACGCACCTACCCTACTGTTATCATAAAAAAGAATCTATTAAAACAAATAGAATTTTTTGTATGTACAGATTCAATCTTTAACTTTTTAATGTCAGAGATTTAGGAAATAGAGACAAACTAAGAAAATCTGAAGTGCAAAAGGAGTTACCGGGAAGTCTGAGTCCTAACAGAAAGAAAAGATCCTAAGGTTACTTGACGTAGTCTGCTCTCATTTAAAGCACTATTAGGAGAGTGATCATCCTGAATACTTCGTGTTGTAATGGACGTGTGCCTACGAGAAACACGAGTTGGTCCAGGTGTATTTGGGATGGCTTGAGATATTTGCGTCCGACGTCTAGATGAAGGCTTTCTTCCACGACGTTTTTTGAAGTTTTGGTTGTTCCATATAAGTGAAAGTACTGGAACACGCTCCTGATCTGTAGACGGTGATCCACTGGATGA